AGTCTAAACTGAAGTTCGGAATTGCCGAACTACTGAATTGTCGAAGTCCAGAATTTTGGAAATGCCGAACCGAACTGAATTTTTTGCCCATGTACATCCCTAAAATATATGCATACAAATGGATATTGGCTCATTTATATTATGTAAACTGTTGAGTTTCTCAAAAGCTTCATATGAGATTAAACTATTACTGCTATTATTTACTTGCCTTATGAGAGCAAGTTTATAGATACATGGCAATATTTGAGTCTAGCAGAGGTACCAGCTTAACTAGCCATTAGCAGAATTAAATAGGGTATTTGGTGAGAGCTGGATTGCCAAACTTTGAACAGAAAATTGCCCCTGGATAGGAAGAGTACATAACAGCAGACATTCTATGTCAGCATATTAATACAACAATAATCATAACTAAACTATTCACAAAGAAGTTAAAGGGACACTATAGTCACAAAAAAACAACTTTAGCTTAATGAAGCAGTTTTGATGTAAAGAACATGCCCCTGCAGCCTCACTGCTCAATTATCTGCCATTTAGGAGTTACATCACTTTGTTCATGAACCCTAGTCACACCTACCTGCATGTGAATTGCACAGCCTTCCTAAAATCTTCCTGCATAGAGTCATCTAAAGTTTATCCTTTCTTTATTGCAAGTTCTGCTTAATTTAGATTTTCTTATCCCCTGCTATGTAAATAGCTTGCGAGACCCTGCAAGAGTCCTCTTGTATGTGATTAAAGTTTAATTTACAGAGCAAGAGATAATATTGTTTAAGGTAAATTACAGTTTTTTTTCATGCAGGCTGTGTCAATCATAGCCAGGGGAGGTGTGGTAAGGGCTGCATAAACAGAAACAGAGTGATTTAACTCCTAAATGGCAATGAATTGAGCAGTAAAACCTGAGATGCAAGATCTATACATTAAAACTGCTATATTAAGCTAAAATTGTTTAGGTGACTATAGTGTTCCTTTAAATAAACCAAGCATTGTCTGTGGCCCACTCAGCCGATGCTTGCAGATGGAAAGCCACAGCCACTAGGAAATAAGGACTCCAGACAATCCGAGTGGGTCACCCCACTGGCCCCAAGCTTAAAATACAATCCAGTGCTTAGATGAGAGCCTGAGTGATATTACAGTAAGGGGCTGGGCAAGAGATGGATGGGGGAACTAACTGTCATTTTATCAATTGTAATGCCTGCTGCTAAAGATGGTGTCTGGCCTCACGTTAAAGGAATACTATAATCACCAGAAAATCTGTAGCTTAATGTATTTGTCCTGGTAAGTGTAGTCCGTCCCTGCAGGAATTTTACTGTAAACTGCCGCTAGCTGACTAGCTTTATTATGCCAACTGGTCATTTCTGTTTCCACAGACTCCCCTTTGAGATATGTTCTGCTCCTGAAATCTTCCAAAGTAAGGTGAGGTACCTCCTGAGTGACCATGAGGGCACTGTAGTAGTCATGGACGACACCCTAGTGTATGGGTCCACTCAAGAATAGCATGATCAACGACTGAACTGTGTACTGTAGACAGAAAGAACATCTGGACTGAAGCTGATCGAAGATAAATGTCACTTTGGAAACCATTCATATATATAAGATCTGTAATAGGGATGTGCATGGGCAAAAAAATTGGTTCGGTTTGGAAATTTGGGTAAGTAAAAAAATGCGTCTAGTTCGGCAATTCGGACCAATGGCATTCGGTTCAGTAGTTCGGCAATTCGGAACTTCGGCAATTCGGACCCTAATAACTTGTTTTGCCTTAACCCCTAGCCCCTAACCCTAACCACTTGTTTTGCCATTTTTCAGAAATCCGAAGCACTTTGGAACTTCGGCAATTCAGTTCGGTTCAGCAATTCAGAAATCCGACACTTCTGCAATTCGAACTTCGGACATTCGTAAGCTTCCAAATGTCCGAATTGCACAAAATTCATAATGAATTGCACATGTCTAATATGTAAGCAGATCTATCTCCACCATATTTCACAGGTAAAAGAACAGAGGGTTCAATTGAGAAATCTTGAGGACTTCTTAGTAAAAAAATGTACCGGTTTCTGGAGATCTGATTGCCTCATGTGAAGTTCACGCATGGGTTGAGTCAATCGTTCAAGCCTGTTTTCCATTGTTTGAAAAAGATTGGTGCAATTGAGTTAGATCCATAGTAGCATAGGATTAGCATAGTAGTTTCTGTCATTAGAATGTTGGGGCCCCTAACACAACTTAAAGTCTGGGCCCCTGGGGCCGACCCCCAGTCTGTCCATAAACACACACATACACACTGATACACATACGCTGACTTATATATACAAATACACACACTCTGGCATATACACACACTGACACACAGATACACACACACATCCATTAGGTAAGTATGATAGGGGTTGGGGAGTAGGTTTAAGGATAGGTGAACATGTCACTGTGAGGGAGTGAGCATGACAGTATTGGGGGATGAGTGTTGGGTGAAGGTGATTGTGACAGGGTGAGGGGTCATAAGCGATGGTAGGAGGGTGGTGAGTGTGACAGTATAAGTATAACAGTGTGACAGTGTTAGTGAGGTTATTGTGACAGCGGTAAAGGGGTTACTGTGACAGTGTTAGGGGGATAAGTGTGACAGGGTTGGGGGGTGAGTATGAAAAGGTTAGTAGGGTTATTGTGACAGTGTTAGGGTAGTTAGTGTGACAGGTTTAGTGGGTTTAGTGTGACAGAGTGAGGGGAATGTGATAGGGTGTGTTGTAGGAAGAAGGGTGGTACGCGATTTGAGGGAAAATATCTTGATTCCAATGTTCAGTGTAATTAATTAAATTAAGGCCTACATCTGATGCTCTTTATATGTAATGAACTTTTTCTCTGTAAAATGCTGTATACATGTCAGCATAAGTTGGGTTCTCTGTGTATTCTAGCCCCCACCGGGGCACTTATTTTGAGAAACTGTACATTGTGTGACTGTTTGCTAGCTAATTTTATCTACGACCTTCCAATCTTATGAAATACGTAACCACATATTGTTTTGTAAACTAATTTTATATATTATGAAATTGATGTGGATATCAATCAATAATCTGATTATCTTGCGTATCTGCCCCCGGCTAAATTAAAGAAATAGTGCGTGCACACTCCTGAAGTAATTCACACCAGACACAAGTTTCGGGTTAATGAAAAACTTGAGGAATGTTTATTCAGGGGGGACAACATGTCCCTTTTAAAGCAAAATTACATCATAAGCATTGTCAGAGATAACATGAAATAATACATCAATAATTGGTTAGGTGTTAAGTGGCTCATTTGATGCTCTGCCTACTGAGGGTGATGTCACTGGCATCGTGGAGATATGCCCCAGATTCCAGCGCCATCTTGCTAATGAGAGTGTTAGTCGATGTTAAGGGGGAAACTCCCTAGTCGCCATTTTAGATAATCACATATAATGTTGAATAATACTGATTGTAGTTATGCTGAGTAAATAGACATTTTACTAATATAGATTGGGTTAATATTTTTGTCCACAACAGTCCCCCATTAAAATGACTAGTTACGAAAGGAAGGAAAGAAAAGACAGCCAACTACTAGCTAACCCTAATAATGTCCCTAATTTGGCTGCAGCTCATCTGTCTGAACAGGTCTCGAACACTTCACTGCGCAGGTATCCCGCAGTGGCTAACTCACTACATCTCGTGCGTCAGACTCCTGCCCATAGAGACAGGTGCTATCCCTATACTGTCCCTATAGAGCGGTAGTAGTTGTTGTCTGTTTGAAATGATGGGACTGAAGTGGTGTGTGTGGAGTGTCACAGTCAATATCATCAGCATCTTGGTGTATATATATGGGTGTGGTGCGGTCAATAGTCTGGTCCACGGTCTTTTGTAAGTACCTTTGCACACATAGAACCACACAACAGGTTAGAAGGAGGAAGAAGATCATTACAGTAAGAACTGCCATCCCTATTTGGAAAAGAGTCCTTTGCCATCCACTCATCCATCCAAACCATTTATCCCAAGAGTTGGGAAGCCCTGAATTCTTCTTTAATTCGTCAGAGAGATTTTCCAATTTTTTTATGGCCATAGTCACTTTACCATTAGGACCGGTGTTGTCTGGGATAAAAGTACAACACGTCATCATCTCAGGGTGTATTTTACATACGCCCCCCTTTTCAGCTAGAATCATGTCTAAGGCTATCCTGTTTTGGAATATCATGTGGGAGGTAGCCTGTAACTGCTCGGCTAAGCCCTGTAGGGCATCTCGAGTGTAGTTGACAAAGCGTTGTTGGTTGTAGTAGATGTAATTGATCCAGTTAACATTTTTATTAGCAGTAATAAGTGGGATCAAGGATTTGAATCCTGCTGCCACTTCATCTGGCTTTGAACTCATTTGGTACCCCCCTAGGTACTCCAATGGCATCTATATATACATGTGGGTCAAAACTACCCCGAATAGGACTGTCTCTTTTCACCCTAAGATGAGTATATGAAGAATCATATGGACCTCGGTGGTTATCAGGGAAGATGTGAATAGGCATGATAAGTTTAGTTAGAGTACATTCTCCCCACCATAAGCCAGTCATTTTTGACCTGAGTTGCATGTCACCACATAACCAATAGATATCTCCCACAGACTTAATCTGATTTACCAATAATGTTGTGGGTGGATTCCGGTAAGTTGCACAGTAACCAGAAGGAAATTTGCCTACGAATCTACCTGTGGCTCCGTGCATTGTATAGTAAGTGTAATTACCTGGGTACACGGTGACTCCATCCGGTGGTCTCGTGTTCCCTTGAGTAATTGGGTAAGCCTTTTTCCATGACTCACATGCTGACGAATTTACAATTGTTTGTGCATAGAGGCTTAAGAAACATGCTTCAACATCCAGGGGTAGATTTAGGGGCCTAGCTCCACCACAAACATAACAGTTAGTTTTGTTATGAGAGTTAGCATTGTATCTCATCCATTCAAGCCATAGATTAGTATCTGAAAAAACAGTCTCCACAGCCATAGTGTCTTAAAATGTGGGATTGGTGATAGCCACCATGTCCTTGAGATTCTTGATGTGTGGTTTCAGGGGATTTACTGTCATGTGCGTTGACCATACCCAGTCAGGTGATGTAAGCATGTCTTGCAAATAAAATGTTCCCAACTTGTTGTATGAGCCACCCCCTTTCCAATACATTCCCATTACGTATTCCCCGGCGTCACCTGGGCTGGGGTGTTCTATGTTTAAGGTCAGTTTTATTGGAGTAGACCCTGTTGGTTTACACAAAGTCATTTGGTATAATAAAGGTTTCCCATGTCTGTCAACTCGGTGTAAGGCAGTCTGTGGTCTGTAGCCCCATGGTTGGCCTGTGTTCCAACCCGCTGCCTTCCATGAGCTACAGTGATGTCCCCAATGACCACCCGTTACACAAATGTACAGGTCCTTCTTGTCTGGTATGTCTTTGTATATTGCTGAGTGTTGTGATTGTGGAAAAGTACAAGTAACAATATCACAGTAATCAAAAGTAAATGTAGCCACATGTGAGTTGGAAGAATTGTGCCAAAATGTGTAAACATGATTGTCTTTGGTAATAGCAACTTGTTGGGCCTCTAAGAGGCCTAGCAGCAAACATAAATATAAAAGGCTCATGTTGGTGTGGGATCCGATTCCTCTGGGTCAGGAACCTTCTTACAGTGTGAAGCGTGTATCCAAGTGTTCTTCCCAGCCAACTTTACAGAGGTAGCTGTAGTCAATAGTACTTGGTATGGACTATCGAACCTTGGCTCAAGAGTATGTTTCCTTAGGAATTTCTTGACCATAACCCAATCACCAGTTAGTAACTTGTGCATGCCTGTATTGGATTCTGGATCTGGAATAGAAGAAAACACCTGTGCATGGATTTTGGTCAAGGCATGAGAGAGTGCAGTTATATAATCTACCATTGCATCTGACTGGAGATGAAGTTGTTGTGGAAAGTAACAACCTAACCTGGGTGCTGTCCCAAACAAAATCTTGTAGGGGGATAGGTTAAACTTCCCTCTTGGGGTATACCTTACACTAAAGAGTGCTATGGGGAGACTCTTCGGCCAGGGCAAATTAGTTTCCTGTGACATTTTAAGCATTCTGGCTTTCAGTGTGCCATTCATGCGTTCTACCTTACCACTACTCTGTGCGTGATAGGGTGTGTGGAAAGCAAGGGTCACCCCCAGTGCTGCCCAGATTTCTCTGGTCTATAATGTGGTGAAAGATGTACCTTGATCACTTTCAATTACTTCAGGGACTCTGTATCTGCAGATAATTTCGGTGAGTAGGTGTTTAGCGGTAGTCTTTGCGGTAAGGTTGGCAACTGGGAAAGCTTCTGGCCACCCTGAAAACATATCCACTATGACTAGTGCATACTCGTATGGCCGCTCTTCGGCATTTGGATATGATCAATTTGGATTCTTTGGAAGGGATATTGTGGTTTAGCCAAATGATTCGGTGCAGCTTTGATTATTTTCCCTGGGTTGCATTTAGCACAGATAGTACATGACTGGCAGTAATTTCGAGTTAAGGTAGTGATCCCAGGTGCTTCAAAATATTTATCAAACATGGAGTTCATGAGTTGTTTTGACAAATGTGCTGGTCCATGAGCCCATTGGACAACAGCCGGGTACATATTCTTAGGTAGACAGAATTTGAGGTTGATTGTGTATATATCACCCTGGATAATAGCTCCTTTGTCCTTCCAGCTTTGTTTTTCCTGTGGGGTAGCAGCAGCCTGTTGCTCTCTTAGGAATCTGAGGTCAGTGGGTAGGGTTTGCATGGTGTAAATAGGGGTCTTCTCATTGGACACTCTTCTGTCCACTTCCCACTTCTGGGGTGCTGCGTCCTTAGCCGCTTGGTCGACCAGATGGTTACCATGGGCTTCTTCTGAATTCAATTTCCCATGGGCCTTGACCTTTAGTTTAGCTACTTCTTCTGGCAGTAGTAAGGCGTCCATTAATTCGTTAATAGTCACACCATGTTTTACAGGAGTACCTGTTGCTGTAAGGAATCCCCTGGTCTTCCAGATTAAGCCAAAGTCATGCACTACTTCTAGGGCATACCTGGAGTCTGTGTAAATGTTGACACTCTTTCCTTCTGATATTCTGCATGCCACTGTGAGAGCTATCAACTCGGCTTCTTGGGCTGATTTGGAGGAGGGAAGTGAGGATGCTTGGAGTATTTGGTCTTCTGTGGTGACTGCATCGGTAGACAGACTAGGATGACAATGTTTCCTTTGGAGTCACAGAATAGGCCTGTGAGCGTAATCTGCACCTCCACCAGGCTAAGCAATTCTTCTTCAGAGTATGAGTCAGGACCTGGAGTATCTCAAAACCACAGGGTGCAATGTAGTTGTGTTTCAGGTTGTTCATCATGCGGAATTGTGGGCTTTCCAATTTGCAGTTCCATGTAAACACCAGGATGTATATGTAAACTGTACCAGTATTGTGGAATTCCCCCCTTGGGAAGGGGCAGAAGAGTGGCCGGATTCAGAGTATAACATTGTTGCAGTGTAACATTGTCTGGTAAGAGAAGAGAAGTTTGAAGTCGAAGGTGTCTCTGACAAGAGAGATGTTTCGGTTGGACTTGGGTCAGAATGGCAGCGATGTCATGTGGAGCCAGAACAGTCAATTTGTGTCCAAGAACGAAATCATTCATTTTATCCAAGAGGGCACTTGCAGCAAAGACAGCATGCAAACAGGAAGGACCCTCTCTGGCTACGGGGTCAAGCATGCAGGAAAAGTATCCGATGGGGCGTTGACGGGGCCCATGAGGTTGAGTAAGGACCCCAGAGGCATGGCCCATCTTCTCAGAGACAAACAGTTTAAACGGCAACTCATAGTTAGGGAGGCCCAAAGCAGGGGCAGAAGAGATTGCCCTTTGTGTAGCAACTGCAGGCTGTTGAGGACAATGTGAAGGGTTCAGTCTTCAAGCCGTCGTAGAGGGGTTGCATGAGTTGAGAGGCCTCAGGGATCCAAGATCTGCAGTACGTGATGAGACCCAGGAAGGTGTGGAGGGCCTGGTGAGTAGATGGAAGGGGAAGATTGGTGATAGCACAAACTCTGTCTCTTGTCAGGTGACGGGTGCCATGGGAAAAGACAATGTCCCAAGAAGACCACTGTGGGCCGGCACCATTGGAGTTTAGCTTTGGAGGCTTTGCAACCCTCTTCTGCAAGGAACCCGAGAAGATCCACTGAATGGTGTTCAGTTGTTGGAAAGTCATCTGCACAGAGCAGTAAATCATCAACATACTGGAGCAGGACCACATCTGGGTGAGATTTCTGCCAGGGTTCTAGTACAGTAGACATTGCCTTGGCAAATTGTGTTGGAGAATTTTGTGCACCTTGAGGTATAACGGTCCATGTATATTGCTGGCGGTCATGTGTGAAAGCGAATAAATACTGACATGAGGGATCCAGAGGCACACTGAAGAAGGTGTTTGCAAGATCAACCACTGTGAAGAATTTAGCAGATGAAGGCACTTGTGACAACAATATATGTGGATTTGGAATGACAGCTGTGTCCCGTTTAGTAACCTCATTGACAGCACGGAGATCCTGAACCATGCGATATTGGTCCGGTTGGCGTTTTTCAGTTTTCTTCTTTACAGGAAACAGGGGAGTATTGCACTGTGAAACACATTTGATTAAGGCTCCTTTTGCAACTAGACTTTCAACCTGCTTGGAGATGGCAAGAGCTTGTGCGTGTTTCAAAGGGTAATGTGGTCGCCTTGGCGGGGTAGCTCCTTCGATGAGTGTGACTACCACAGGTGGGACTCGGAGATGGCCAATATCATCAGGGCCTGTAGACCAGAGTTTAGTTGGAACGGAATCCAGCGCACTGGGGGCATCAGGGACACTTGTTTCCTCTGTGGGGGAAGTCATGTGCATGAGTAGGGGTAGAGAGCAAAGAGCTGAAGTATCCTTACGAGAAAGTGGGGTAAGTAATTGTACCTGACCATCGGCAGTGAAAGAGATAGAAGCCTGAAGGCGAGACAGTACATCAGCTCCTAAGAGGTTAATAGGACAGGTGGATGAAACAACGAAACGGGAAAGGATGTTAGAACCAACATGCAAGAGTTTTGTTAATGGGTTATTTCGGGGGGTACCATCAACACCCACACAAGAAACATCGAGGTCAGACAAGTAAGAAGGATCTGGCAGGTCTTGTTCTCTGAGAACACTGCGGGCTGCACCTGTGTCAACTAGGAAGGTAGTGGGATGACCCTCAACTGGTAATACTACGGTAGCTAGGGGCCCCCCTTTATCCCCTGCAGACACTGCCATAACAGGGGTGTCAGACACAGGTTTGCCGGTTACCTATTGTACAAGATCTAGGTGAGACTGATCGGGGCCAGTGTAATGACGTGTAGTAGGGTGACTTGTTTGATGGTTTTGGCGGGTAGGGCGATAATGAGTAGGTGCTGAGTGATCAGTCTGTTGAAAGTCATTTGAATCATAAGTATCTGGGGGAGGATGTATGTTGAATTGACCGGGTTAATAATGGGTAGTATGGTGCGTGTGGCTGTGGATGTGTCTGTGAAGGGAAACCATGTTGAGGACTCCCATATGTGGTCGTGTGTGTGATAGGGTGCAAAGGAGGTCTGATAGGTGGTGGGCGAGTTACCCGTGGTTGTGGGCAGGGCCGGATTAACATAGGGGCTGATGGAGCTGCAGTTCCAGGCCCAGGCCCATGGAATAGGCCCATTGATTAAAAAAAAATATTTTTTTTTAACACACTACTCTTAGAGTTGCCAGGTATTTCTCATATATTTCTTAGGGTTACCAGGTATTTCTCAGAAGTATTTCTCAGGTATTTGAGGCTGCCTAGCCGGTGCCGGTATTGCAGTAATACCGGCAATACAAATGTCTGTCTCAGTATAAACAGAGATTGTTCTGCAATATTCGCGCCGGCTAGTAGGCGTCGCTGTTTGTGTGGAGAGAGGCAGTGATAAGAAGTTACAGCATCTCCCTCCCTGCCTCTCTCTATTCACTGAGAGTCCAGACAGCAGCTCCGAGACATGAGGAAGCTGAGACATTGGGACACTGGGGAACATGGGCACCCTGAGACACTAGGGAGACAGTGGCCCCATGTCTCCCAGTGGCCCCTAGTCTGTGTCCCCATGTCTCCCAGCCACTGTCCCTAGTGTTTCAGTGGCCCCATGTCTCCAGTGTCCCCATGTCTCTAAGTGTCCCCTAGTGTCTTAGTGACATCGGGACACTGGGAGACATGCGGACACAGACTCTAAGGGACACTGGGAGACATGGGGATACAAAAACTAGGGGACACTGGGCAACATGGGGACACAGACACTAGGGTACACTGAGAGACATGGAGACACTGGGGGACACAGGGAGACATGGGGACACTGGGCGACTTTGAGACCTAGGAAACATGGGGCACCCCCGGTGTCCCCATGTCTCCCAGCCAGTGTCCATAGTATCTCAGTATCCCCATGTGTCCCTGGTGTCTCTCAGTGTCTGTAGTGTGCCAGTGTCCCTAGTGTCTCAGTGTTTCCTAGTCTCCCAAAGTCCCCTAGTCTCCCAATGTCTCCCAGTGTCCCCATGTCTCCTAGTGTCTCAGTGTCCCCTAGTATAAAAGAAAAAATCTCAGGCACTCACAGTGATAGATTTAGGCAGGTTTATTGGACACTGCAACGTTTCGACCTGTACCCAGGTCTTTATCAAGTTTCAAATGTCCACTATGTATCAGTGTCCCCTATGTATCAGAGTGTCTCAGTGCCCCATGTCTCTCTGCCCGTAGTGTCTCAGTGTCCCCTAGTATAAAAGAAAAAAATTTCAGGCACTCACTGTGATAAATTTAGCCAGGTTTATTGGACACCGCAACATTTTGACCTGTACCCAGGTCTTTATCAAGCCTATATCACAGTGTCTTAGTGCCCCATGTCTCCCAGTGTCCCCTCGTGTGTCACCCAGAGTCCCCATGTCTCCCAGTATCCCCAGGTCTCTCAGTGTTCCCTAGTATCTGTGGCCCCATGTCTCCCAGTGTCCCCATGTCTCTCAATATCCCCTAGTGTCCTAGTGACATGGGGACACTGGGAGACATGGGGACACAGACACTAGAAGACTGGGAGACATGGGGACACAGACATGCCCCCTTTTTGTGTATGTTCGCCCTTTCGGCCGTTCTGGTTATGTGATTTGTGTCAGTGGACCACCCTTTTACCGTATCCATAGACTTCCTGCTTTACTGGACACTGCTGTTAGGGGATATGGGTTGACTTGAAAGATGAAAGCGTGAGATTAGCAAAGGGTATGTGTTTTCTCATAGTTGCATCCTATGAGTTTCCATCTCCATCAGATACATGACGCTTAGGAGGTAGGACTGTTTTAGTGTTTTTGGTCAATAAGATTTTGTAATTAGGCCCATCATAATTATCAGCACCAGGCCCACTGGGCTCTTAATCTGGCCCTGCTTGTGGGCAATCCCTGCGGAGATGACCTGGTGAGTTACAATTATAGCAAACCCTGGCCGGAGGTCTGAGTGCTGTGGACTGTCCTTGTGTACCAGGCATAATAGCCAATGTGGGGTGACTCTGGGCCCCAAGGTGGGTCTGATAGTGGGACCAGAAGTAGAAAACATGAGTGGGTTACTCTTCTTATGTGTAGGCTGCAGAACTGATTTTAAACCCTTTGCTACCAACAAGAGAGTAGGGGGCTGGAGGAATAGGAGTCAGGGTTGGTGTGAGCGCAGAGGTAAGGGCAGAGACTAGGGAGGAAAGATCACGAGGGTGTGAGGATACGGGTGGTAATAAAGGTTCTGGGATGGGTGTAGGGGGAGTAGGAGGAGGTGGAGAAGTAGGAGTGAGGGCAGTGGTAAGGGCTGAGACTAGAGGGGCAAGATCAAGAGGGGTGGAGGTCATGGGGGGTGTAGAAGGTTCTGGAATGGGGATAGGAGGAGTAGGAAGGGTTGGAGAAGTAGGAGTGAGGGCAGTGGTGAGGGCTGAGACAAGGGATGAGAGGTCAACAGAGGGAGAAGGAAGGGGACTGGAAATGGGAAGGGGAGAGGAATCGAGGACAGGAGTCAGTGGGACAACAGGGAGTGGGGAAATCGGAATGGGAGCGGCAGGAGCAACATTAGGGGGAGGAATCACGGACACCCCGGGGGACATTGTGGGTGGTGGCGATGAGGAAATTGGGGCAGAATGAATAACAGGAAGGGGGGCCAGTGTGGTCTCGGAAGGAACAATGCATGCCGGGGGTGTGGGAACAGGGGTTGGGGAAATAGGAGATACGGTAGTGAATGGTAAGGAAGAAGCGGCATCAGGGGAAAGATGGTGATGGTAAGGGGGCAACATCAGTAGCGATCTGTGGTAGTGGAGGTGAGGAAACATCAGTAGGGAGAGAGGCTGGGAGTGGGGATGAAACGGAAGTAGCGGATGGTATGGCTGACGGTGATGGGAGAGGGAAAGGGTAATAGTAGGATCCGTCCACACCAAGGATGGGGTATAGAGGGGTGGGAGTAGGAGGCCTTTTGGTAACGGGGGTGGAACAATTGGGGGTGGAGATTATGTAGTGTCTGAGGAGGCGGGACATGGTTCACTCGTGACATTCTGGGCGCCATCATAGGGTGGTGGCCGGGGAACAACAGTGGATGAATCATCATCATCACAAACATTTCTGTGATACACAAATACTGTTTGTCCTCCAAAATCAATTTCCTCTTCTGACCATCCCTCCCATTTGAGACCTCTGGCGACATGATACCAAGCCTCTACTGCTTTCGTAAATCCATTGTCTAGTAATATACCTTCTTTATCAACAAGCAATTTCCTCCAAAACTCTAGTTGTAACCTACCACTGGGTGACATTTGAAAAGCACAAACTTTCGCTATATTTTTCATCTTGAACATAGCTTCCTCTCCTGCTCTTTCTTTAACAATGTCACAAGCTAAGAGACCCTTTGAAGGTCTAGCATATTCCTGTCCCATTTTTAGCAAACATGATTCTCCCCGTAAAAGGGACAGAGATAGGGAGAAGAAAAAGAAGGAATGTCTACAGTGCTCGACTGCCACGAGGAATTAATTCCTGTGCGTCTTCCCAAAACGTAGACTAGTCACGAGATCCGCCCACCCGAGATGGTGGCCACGGATCAGTACGGGTGAGCGTGGGTGACTAACACAGCTCTGGGCAACAAGTATAGGAAAGATAGAGAATCAGAGAGAAAGTGAACGTAGAGAGATGTGTCACAAACACGGACATGTGCACTTAATCCGGAATCGAGTATGAACCACACGAAACACACACACAATGAGGGTACCTACACTATGGCCACAACTGAGCAAAAAACAGAGTATAACGGTGAACAATAAAAATGTGAACATAGCAATGGTTAAACAGCAAATAAACTCTGTTCTACTCTGAACTGTACAACACAATTCACAGCCTTTCTCTAGGCTATCCCCAGCCCTTTACTGGGTGGACAACTAAAACCCCAACCCTTCTCCGGTTTGTCAACAAAAATCCCAGCCCTTTACCCAGTGGTCGTATTCCATGCCCTCTAGGCAGTCAAGCTATAACAATAAATGCGTTCCCTGCCCGCTAGGCAGTCAAGCGATAACAATAAATGCGTTCCCTGCCCGCTAGACAGTCAAGCTATAACAATAAATGCATTCCCTGTCTGCTAGGCAGTCAAGCGATAACAATAAATGCGTTTCCTGCCCGCTAGGCAGTCAAGCGATAACAATAAATGCGTTTCCTGCCCGCTAGGCAGTCAAGCGATAACAATAAATGCATTCCCAGCCCGCTAGGCAGTCAAGTGATAACAATAAATGCGTTCCTTGCCCGCTAGGCAGTCAAGCGATAACAATAAATGCGTTCCCTGCCCGCTAGGCAGTCAAGCTATAACAATAAATGCAAATCATACACCAGCTGTCTCACACACACACGCGCAATTCTCAGGGGGCAGATAGACAATCGACAGGTTCGTTAAAAAGGCATCGGATAAGAGATTACCTGTCTTGTAGCCTTCTGGAAGCCGGAAGTGGACGCGGAGACAGACTGACACAAAACAGGAGAATACAGGCAAACCGCTGTATTAGGAGGTGATCAGGCTCCTGTTGTCCTACTTTCCAGGGGTCCGCTCCGGTCCTGTTTTCTGTCCGTCCGAACCGGCGAGACCCGGTGCCCCACGTTGGGCACCAAATGATGTGGATATCAATCAATAAATTGATTATCTTGTGTATCTGCTCCTGGCCAAATTAAAGAAATAGTGCGTGCACGCTCCTGAAGTAATTCACACCAGACACAAGTTTCGGGTTAATGAAAAACTTGAGGAATGTTTATTCAGGGGGGACGACATGTCCCTTTTAAAGCAAAATTTCATCATAAGCATTGTCAGAGATAACATGAAATAATACATCAATAATTGGTTAGGTGTTAAGTGGTTCATTTGATGCTCTGCCTACTGAGGGTGATGTCACTGGCATCGTGGAGGTCTCCCCCAGATTCCAGCGCCATCTTGCTAATGAGAGTGTTAGTCGATGTTAAGGGGAAACTCCTTAGCGGCCATTTTAAATAATCACATATAAAGTTGAATAATGCTGATTGTAGTTATGCTGAGTAAATAGACATTTTACTAATATAGATTAGGTTAATATTTTTGTCCACAACAGAATTATATAGACACATTAACTAATTTTATCTTTTGACTTTCCTATCTTTAACCACATTATTTCTCTTTAAACCTTCAAGCTAAGCTTCAACAATATTGTGTATAAATACACCGTACTTTGAATAAATGAACAGAAGTAATTCTGGACTCACAACTATGAGACGTGTGATAATTTCTTCTCCAGGCACCTGATATAATTTGGGTTCCCCTGAATATAAGTACTGGATCCTTTGTCCATGTCAGTGACTTTGTCAGAAGTGTTGCAAGGGGAGAATGACAGAAGGTGGGGAGGCTGTGTCTCCTCACACAGAATAAAATTGCATTCAATGTATTTTTCTTTGCTAGGCAATAATTCCTACCTTGGTGGCCCAGTGGGTTCATGGCATTCCGGTGGGCTGCTGTCATACCACAGGTGGCCCAGTGTGTTGCTGCGGCAGGCACACTCCCTTGTGGTTCCTATATCTGTGATGGCAGCAGAGCGGAGGCTGGGAAAACGGTACCTGGGCTCTGACACTCAGTGTGCCTGAACCACGAGGGAGTGTGCCAGCCCTGGCAACACACTGGACCACCAGAGAGGCAATTAGCAAGTCCTTGCATGGAGGGGGTGGGTTTACCTACAGCCCCCTCCCTTACCAGCACAGCTCATGGCGACGATTAATTTGGGCTATTGGTGGATTCGGCCAGCGAGGGATCAGTACTCCCTCACTGCGCTGAATGGTCTAATAGCCCAAATTAATAGACCTTGAGGCCCAGACGTCCAGGCTGATAACTTGGTTGTGACCCCCTGATAACGGGGAGTATGTATTGGTGGGTCCCACTGCTTCTCCGAAATGCATCTCAGGCTGTGAAATGGCAGTCAGCTTTTGCGTAGTAGATTTTTGATCTACCACCATACCACGCTCCATAGGTGTGCGCAGCCTATTGTATAAGGGTGTGCACCCTAAAGCAGAAACACACACGCCGCGTATATATATACATACATACATACACACACACACACTGCTGTGTGTGTGAGGGTGCTGTGTGTGAAGGCGCTGTGTGTGTAAGGGTGCTGTTAAGTGTGTGCATGTGTAAGGGTGCTGTTAGTGTGTGTGTGTAAGGGTGCTGTTAGTGTGTGTATGTGTAAGGGTGCTGTATGTGTAAGGGTGCTGATAGTGTGTGTATGTGTAAGGGTGCTGTTAGTGTGTAAGGGTGCTGTTAGTGTGTGTATGTGTAAGGGTGCTGTTAGTGTGTGCTGTGTGTGTGTATGTGCTGTGTGTGTAAGGGTGTTAGTGTGAGGGTGCTTTTAGTGTGTGTTTGTGTGTGTGTGTGCTGTATGTTTGTGTGTAATGTGTGGGGGTGTGGAGGCCATTTAGTTAATATCCCCCCTCCCTTCTTACCTTATGTAGGGAGGGGCGACCGTGCTCCTGCCTTCCCTGGTGGTCCAGTGGAGAGTGAACTCTAGCCTCCTGTGGGGATAGAGTTCACTCTCGCGAGATCTGAGCGCAACGCTCTGACCGCGTGAGAGGAACCTGGCGGAGCTGCTGACAAGAGCTCCCGGGTCCTCTCCTGCCTCCCTTCCTGCAGGTCGGTGAGGGAGATCTTTGATCTCCCTCACCTGCCCACGGAGGGAGGCACATAGTGCGTGCTGTGGGGATTAGGGTGTGCCTAGGCACACCCGGCACACCCACCTATGCCAAGCTCTCTCACCACATCCTTATATTTAATATTTTTTTATTTTATTGTTGTTGTAAAAATAAAATACCATCTGAACCACTGAGGAGAGTACCGCACACAGCATATATCCACAAACCACGATTGTACCGCTTGATGACTGATTCATTGAGATTGGGATTTAAAAGGATACTATAGGCATCAAAACAACTTTAGCTTAAATTTGGTGTATAGATTATGCTCCAGAAGTCTCGCTGCTTAATTCTCTGCCATTTAGGAGTTAAATCACGTTTGTTTGTTTGTTTATTCAGCCTTAGCCAAGCCTCCCTGGCTGTGACTCACACACCCAACACAGTTTCATTTTTACTCAGATAATAATTGTTTAGAAGTTTTTCTCAGTTTTATTCATTTCATGTGTCCGGAGACCAAAACTGTATCGTGAAGATTTGGGCTATTTTCTATTGCTATTTTAGGTTTCTTTACACAATGCATATTGTGATCATTATGAGGCACAACATATATTGTTGGTTTCTTTTTGTTATTCTTTTATTGTGAGTCCCGAAGGACCCAACTTTTTGTGTTTTCTATTTACTTTACAGTAGAGGGGAATCTTCTGCTTACTTTATTTCTTCATATAATTCCCCTTGTATATACGCTCTACTTCTAAATATTTAATGACTTTCAGCCTTAAAGGACCACCATAGGCACCCAGACCACTTCAGCCCAATGAAGTGGTCTGGGTGCCAGGTCCCACGAGTGTTAACCCTAGAGGGTTCAGAGAAACTGCTGTTTTCACTGAGGGTTAATCCAGCCTCTAGTGGCTGTCTCACTGACAGCCGCTAGAGGCACTTCTCACTGTAAAAAAATCCCGGTGAGAAGACACTGGACGTCCATAGGAAAGCATTGAGAAATGCTTTCCTATGGGCGTTTTGAATACGTGAGCAGCTCTTGACGCGGACGTCGGCAGGAGGAGGCGAGTTCCCCAGCGGTGAGGGAGCACAACGCTGAAGAAAGATTAGTGGCTGAAGGAGTTTTAACCCCTTCAGCCCAGCGGGAGTGGGACCCTGAGGGTGGGGGTGACCTAAAGACCCTATAGTGCCAGGAAAACAAGTTTGTTTTCCTGGCACTATAGTGGTCCTTTAATGCTCATTATTTGATAGGTAAACTTAAAGGGAAATTAACACTATAAACCTTAAACCAGCATGTGTGCCTGTTGTATTAATTCTTCTGTATTATATAGGTTTTACAAGCGCTAAAGAAGTGGGATGATGTTGAGGTTAAACTCCATGAAAAAATGAGTTAAACTTCTTGAAAAGCAGTTTGTGACATACAGACACTTGGAATGATATAATTCTATGGCCAGCCACTTCAACACCTGTATGTATTTCTCCACATACACTACACTAAAATACAATCTAAAAATAGAACCAACTGGTCCACGATTGTACAGTGTAGTACTATAGCCAGAAAGCCAGGGACCAGGGCCACCATCAGGTTCATAACAGCCATGATGGTTGTCATGGGCTACAACTGGTCTAGGAGTTCTGGGCCCCACATTCCCAATGTGCACATATATCTATAGCGATTTGTTTAATTATCCAAAGTACGTATGATCTACATGTCAACAGAGTTTTTTGGCAAGGAGTTTCTTTATTAGGTAAAGTTGCCAGCCAATCCATTGTAAAAGGTGGGACCACCCAGCTGGTTCCAGACTGGGAAGATGGGTTTGCATCCAAAAGCTGCTACAATGAAAAGGAATCATTTATAAGTCAGGGGTTGACCTGGCACACCTCTTTCGCGAGTGGAGTGGAAGAGTCAAGACCATTTGTGGTGACCCAGCTTATTGGTCTTGAGTTTAAGGGTTTTTTTTATAGGTTTTTCATAAAGTTTACAAAAATGTGTCCAAAGTATCTCAACTTCAGTACATGAATCAGATGGTACTGATGTACCATGTAATGCTATCAAATGCCTTTTCTATGTCAAGTCCAATAAAGGACAGTGATCGTAAGTCTGTCTACCCACCGGCTACTTTTATCACGGCTGCTGGTGCCCTACTGACTCCATGTCCGCCTGCCTGCACAAACACAAAGTGCAGCACGTGGGTGGTGAGTGGTTTAGGCAAGGAAGTTTGTATTCTCAAGGCTTGGTAATGAGTTTGATGTCCTGATCAAGTAATGAAATCATATAATATGAGGCCAGGGCCTCAACATTTCCCAGAGCTCCCAGCCCACCGGAAGAAGTGTTGCTGCTGGAAATCCAGCTTCAACTATGCATGGTCCGTGATTGTTGATGTGTTAATGACATTTTTAGTGTGTTGGTATTTTTGTTTATTCACAACTGAAGGGTCAGTCAAGTACTGTGTGCCAGTTTGATGTCATCATCAAGTAAGGAAAATTCCTGTCTCCACTTCTTTTTGCCTGACAACGTATTGTGTGAATAAAATAGACTTTGGTTCGGTATTTTCTCCTATGTTAGGGCTTTTTGTACATTATTTGCTGCATATTGACTCTATTGGTTCGGTAGTTTGAAACTACCGAACACCGACCACCCTCCTGGCTCATTAACTTCCAAAGATCCGTCTATTAAACGCTCTCTCTGGGCGGCTGCTGTTCGTATAGCCGAATGCCACGTGGAACAGAAAATGGCGGCCATCTTGTTCACATGAAAGGAGGCAGCGGGACTTGGTCGTTGAGTGTCTGTAACTAAAATCGGACACTCAACCGCATGAACCACCACTGAAAATACCGAACGCCTGCTTCCTTTAGTTGCCGAACTGCCAGGAGAGCGCCATTCGGTAGTTTTGTGCGAACGGACAAGGGAAGAAATCACTCCTATGAGCCAGGAGAATCCATTCGGTACTTTGTTCGGTTTTTACTTTTTTCTGAATTGACCGACCGCACACGCTGAATTCATGGAACTATTTTGGGCAGGAGCCTCGTGTGTGGTTGGTAAAATATGACTTCCACACTTTTTAAGAACCCCTGAACCGATCTGGGTGAAATTTGGATATGTTGGTCTCCCAGATCGGAGCTATCAGGGGATATGTAATTTGTGGGAATACCTTGAGGGGAAAGGGGTGTTCTAAGTTTTGGGGAAATTGTGTGCTCTCTGCCTGGAGATTGGTTTATTCCTTAACTTATCTCAATATCTCCCAGGCAGAGAATACTGTAAATCTGTATGTTGTTTGGTTGTTGTCTTTGTTTGCTGTGGGAGGTTCTCTTGCAGGAGGATTTCTCATAAAAGCCAGTGTGTTTTCAATAAAGGTCAGTTCTGTTACACCCTTCATGAAGTCTAGGCTCATGTTTGAGGAATATTCCATCTGCTGGGGAGGATCATCTTGGAAGCTGCATTCATCTACACTATTCCTCTACTCCTTGCTGCAGCTATAATCACTTTGCTCAGCCCTTGGGAAAGGAATAGAAGACCGCAGTACCATAACCACTGCAGGTCTTAACATATAGGAGATAATTTCTCCCCTCATCTCTTAAGAGAGCTGATGTTACTGATAACTGCATGTTTTGCAATAGCAGAACAAGAGTATATTAGCTGGAAAAGCACAGTTCTGCAGGGTTTGCGTAGATAAGTGAGCTATTAGACCTTGCTGGTACAAGCTATGCAGAGGAGCATGGGGCCATTCAAGTGAAGTGGTGTCAGCAGAAAGAGTGGAAATTCCAGTAATAGAGCATGTTTGAGCAGGGTCCTCTTCAACCTATTGTTCCCGTTTCTTGTAATTGTCCTATTTATAGTTAAATCCTCCCCTCTTCTAATATTGTAAAGTGCTGCGGAATCTGTTGGTGCTATATAAATGGCAAATAATAATGTAGGTCATAAACAGTCTATACCACGCAGGGGATCACGCCACCCTACTGTACCGTAGGTACAGTGTAGCACAAATACTTCTGTAGGTATACATTTAGCTGTAATTGTGTGGTCAGACAAGAGATGCAGGAGTACCACATCAATACATTAGGAAGCAGCAGCATTAGCAAATTCCAACTATTTTAAAAGAAATTAAAAGAAAAATGATCAAATATTAACAGAAGTAGAAAAAAACAAAAGTCTATACAGTCCGTGGGTAATTCTAATAAAATTCGTGCTGCAGTCCGTGGGTAATTCTAATAACGTTGGAGGTGTCTCACTCTGTAGCTGTCAGAGCAGTGATAGAGACTCCGATCAAGAAAGCCATAAAACAGTGTGGTAAGTCCCTCTTATCTGTTCACCTCCTTATGTCTTATTGTTCAGGGACAAGGGAGACTGAACAATAACTGATGATGTGGTTGTCAGATGATAGCACACCCTCCAATTTTAAGTTTATGTTTAAATGCGTCATCACGCTCTGACGTCATTACGCTTACCAGCCGTTAAGCCCCGCCTCCCGGAAGTGTTTGGAATCAGGAAGTCTTTTCGGTACACAGAGACTCTGTATAGCCGGTGCCGAAATAAAGACTGTACACACCAGCACTAACCATAAGGAGGTGAACAGATAAGAGGGACTTACCAGCCTAATTCAGCGATATTTTTAAAGAAGCAATAAAGGATTTAACTTCACCACAGTTTCCAGCCTACATTATTGCAATAGAAGCCTACAAAGTTTAGAGCAGACTTTATTGCTCTACCCTAGTGTTTTTGGTTCATATATTTTTATAATTGTTTATCATATTACCCTGTGATTGTATATTTCCCTTCTCTTTTTGAGACATCTATTGCATTGCTGATAAAAGCTTCAGAGCATATTCCATAATTGGGAAAGCTAAGTATTGTATTGTTTTTTGCACATAATTGGTTGCACAAAGAAATATTTTGTTTGCACTATTTGCATATTCATGTCTAAGTGTGTTGCACTTGATCAGTTTAGTTGCACAGTATTGCACAAATTATTTTCACTGTTTATAAATATTGAGTCTTAAAGGCACAGCGCATTTTATTTTTACATTATCTTTCGGTAATTGCCATTCGAAAACAAAGGAACGTTTTTCCTGGCTCGTAGGTAGTGAATGTTCTCCTGGTTCATGTGAACATTCCAACCAAACGGCGCTCTCCTGCTTTGTTGGGAACAGAAACAGGCGTCAGCACAAAGTAACTGAGGTTTGCCCATGTAAGTATCCGACTTAGAGTTTCAGACGCTCGACGACCAAGTGCTGCTTCCTGCGTTCAGGAGACTAGATGGCAGCCGTTTTCCCAGAGCACGTGTTTTTCGGATATACAAATGGCGACCACACAGCGAGAGCACTTAAAGTTTGTGGTTACTTTTGTTAACGAGCCAGGTGGGTGGTCAGTGTTCGTTGGGTTACTGAATGGAGAAAAGTACTTGGGTTCGGGGAAACTGGGAAAACGAACTACCAAAATTACCAGCTCAGGCACAGACACCAAGGTGCCGGATAAGTCGCAATCCCATTGTTCTCCCTGTTGAAACTCCAGGAATAAAAGTGTAGACTGTATGCCAAAAAATTAGTTATTCTTCACTCTCCAATAAGTCTCGACTGTTTTTTTTCCCCTTGCTGGTGTACCACAGTCTCACTCAGCTATAATCACTCTGGGAAGCAGTCACAAGGGAAAGGGGACTTAGCGGTGACAACTCAGCTATTTGTGGGTATATACCGCCACAACTTGTAAATGCTATTCATGTCCGTGTACAGCTCTCCTGCCCCCTCCCCCACACAGAGTGTGAGCATCCCAGAGCTTCTCCTCTCTCTTCTAAGACAGCTGGTAAGCTGGAGAAGACCCTGGAATTGTATGTGTTCATGTGAGATTGTTAGTTTAAGTCTGTGTATACAAGCATGTTTTTAATTAGATTGGGGTATGTAGCAAGTTACATAGGTGGGTGTGTGCCTTATGTGTTTGTGTGAAGGATGGTTGGTGCAAAGCCCCCAAAAAATAGTTCTTGCCTCAGACCCTACAAGTGATAAGAAGTGGCTGTGATTTACATAGAAGTAGTGTTGCATGCAGCAATGTAAGGGAACAACCTATAAATAGTGTGAAGATGGCTGTGTGCTCCTTCCACATTTAGGAAGCCAAGTACATTATAGAGTATTACCAAAGCATTACATGTGCTTTACAGTTAATTAAATAAATCCAACTTCCACAGACACAGAGCTTTATGATCACAACACTCGATTACGGTAAAGATAATTTTATTTTTCACATCATTGGTGTCCCTTTAAAAACAAAATCTGAAGTCAAATAAAATGGCTATTCTTTGTTCTGGAAGTTCACCGTTTCCATTACCTCCTGTGAAGCATTATTCAGTTAGAGCCAAGTACCATACACATCATCCTACGTATTCACTGAAGCGTGAATAATTCTGCTTGTCAACTATACTTATCCATAGTGAGGGAGTCAATAGGAATGTGTGGCTGTTGGATAATGATGAGCAATATCTATCATTATGTACGTTAGTGGACTGGATTTTCCACTGCTTTACAGTTGGGTGAAGGATGGTCAAAAACTGCACATATATACACCTCTACTGTGTATCAGTGGACAGAAGTGGGAGCTCTGCGATCGTATGGTAAACCCAGAGAGTTTCAATGGTTTACTCCAGTCACTATTACTACTTCAGCGATTTTAAGTAGCCATGATGGAGTCTATAAGCGTAGCATTTTACTTTCAATGCTGCACATACCGAGTTAACCCCTTAGCTGCCGATGGTGTAACTCCACCTTCAGCAACATCACTATCAGTATCATGAGCCAGCCCAGAACTAGAGTTCCACACTGGCTAATCTAACTTCTGTGCAAATTTTGATGCACAGAATCTAATTCAATAAAGGACTGGAAAAATCCACATCAAGGTTCTGCAGCTTCACACAAGCCAGATGTCATTAATCTTGCTTCAGTGGAGACCCGGCAACAGGCCAAACTTAAAACGACTGGCCCTAGCGGTTATGATGGTTGAGGTAATCTTTTAACAAGTAAATAACATATAGTCCACTACAAAGGTTATGCATTAATGGTGTACAAAGCATGTACGTTGATAAGAATTGGGAGGATAGATTGACCCCTTGTCTTTAAACTTCACTCAAAACCTAGGTTTCTATTAAAGTGCCAAATTAAAAGTTCTAACAAGCAAAAATGGGGTTTGCCCAGTGTAAATACCATAACAAAAACAGAATAGGTTGGCCTTATATGTCTAGGCAGTAATGATTCTTCTCTTTTTTTTCCCTCCCACTGTGGGTTAATGGGTAATCGAGATTAAAGAAGATGGTAATGGTTGGCACATAGTAAAAATGCTAGTTTAAATTGTCAACGATGAATTACAAAGGGATTAAAAAAAATAAATAAAACAACTCACAAACCAAACAAAATAGATACATTGAAATGTAAAACGGATGTTGAAGATTTCCATTAAAATTAGTAATTCCACTCGTTGTAATTCCAGTACGGAGGCCTGCCACTGAAGTCTTGCCAATCCTGGAGAGAAAATACAAACAAATATTACAGCTGTCTGGGAGCAATGAGAATAATAATTCTGGTCAAACAACATTATAATATTGTACGAGAGGTGTAAAACAGCTGTAGGTTAATGTCATGAAAACAATTAAAATATGACTGAAAGGAGTCATTGCTTAAGGCCTAGGATAGGGCTGGTACTACCTACATTGACCAACCTTTTAGTGGTTTATTCTGGGAAATAACTAAGGGGTTATATGCTATAAGTAGATATATAACATATACGCATGCACAAATATTCTGAGATAGAAACACTCACCTGTACCTCTCTGTACGGTAGATTGTAGTTCTGTGGCGCCATGAACCTATCCTGTTGAGGTGGGTGTGGCCCACGAAAATTATGGAAACCCTAATAGTGAAAGGAAGAACAAGAAAGAACTATTCAAGAAAGGGCTCATAAAATAGATATAGATTGGACATCCCACATATGCGAATTTCACTGCACAAAAACAAAAACAAAACCAACCATATAAAAAACCCAAAGACTTACCCTACACATGCACCCACATTATTCTTACCCCTGTTGGTCTCTGATGTTGCTTTATTTGTGAAGGCTGATGTGTCTTTAAATACCACTTGAACAAACTCAGACACACACACTGGCACATACACACATAATGACACATGCACACCTTGACACACAGATACACAAAATGAGACACACACGGGTCATAATATTTATATTTGCATTCACCCTCCTGTTAGATTACCTTTTTTTCTGCAGGAGGGTGCCTTGCTTGGTGTGCTGCTGGCTGAGGATAGTGTGCTGCTGGCTGCTGCCTCTCTCCAGCCACAGGCTGTCACTTCCACCCAGCAACCGATACTCTTAAACAGCCACGGCACCTGACCAGGCCCCTGTTCAGGAATACCGATCGGGTGGCCATAAGTGCTTGGGCCACCAGATGGGCAAATCGCAGCGGAACCCCAATTTTGTTCTATCTTTAGAGCTTATACTTGCTTTTCAATATAATTTTTTCAACATTTAGTTCCCTTTTTATTATATGTGCTCAGTTTGATTGGCCCATAACACTATATAGTGTAGTGGCTAATTGACATCCGCAACTGCTGAGGATAGTGGGAGCCTGAGCCTGATGTTGGCTGCCACTGATCTCAGTGTCCGCCATCTATGTGTGGACACAAGGAATATATATCTGATGGAGGCAGAACCTGTATGGCTGTGTGCCGAAATTGGTGGGAGTTGTTCCCTACTATCTCGGCTTTTGCGGCTCCTGATACCTGCTTGAATTGTAGGGCAGAGTATTGAAAGGGATGACCACATTCAGTAAAAGGCAGCCAAACTCGCCCATCAGTATATCATTTCCCCTTTATGGGAATTGCAGGATTGAAGCCTAGGGTAGAGCGGATACTACCTGCCCTGACTAACCATATAGTGGTTTATTCACAAAGGGGTTATTTTTGTGTAAGTGGATATATAACCTATACATATGCACAAATATTCCCAGAAAGACACACCCACCTGCAGCTCTCGGTACTGTAGATTGTAGTTCCGTGGTGCAATAAACCTATTCTGTTGAGGTGAGTGTGGCCCACGAAAATTCGGGAAACCCTAACAGTGAAAGGAAGAATGAGAAAGAACTATTTGAGAAAGGGTTTATAAAATAAATATACGTTGGACATCCCAAAACCATGAATTTCACTGCACAAAAAAAACCAACCTTATCAATACCCCAAGGACTTTACCCAACACATGCATTCATATTATTCTTACCCCTTTTGTTCTCGGACGTTGCTGTATTTGTGAAGGCCGGTGATAGGGATGTGGCTTTGAAATCTCCTTGAAAGTGTTCCTAGTTGTGTCTTTCTGAATAGGGCCTGTACAATGGAAAATATAGAAAATGTTAAGTCACAGTGGTGTAGGGAAGTGGACCACTCTATGACAGTTTGGGCAACAGAAAAGGCAGATATAAAGAATAACAAACACTGTTAGAAATCTGTACAAATGAATACGTGGCCCAGGTTTGTGCACGGTGTTCTAAACCACTTACAGCAATTAGCTATCCACTTTAACATTAGAACAGAAAATAGCGTAAACACATTTGTCTATAGCAATATCTTTATAGAGTATATGCATAGAAAATCTAAAAATTATAATGCAGAAACAAAGTCAGGAATGTGCAAACAAAACAGTTTCATTTAAAACACAGCAACCCATTAAATTAACACTCATTGCCTAAGCGTGGCAGGGCAGTGCAGCTCAGTGTTAAGCGTGATCAGCTGCCGCAAATTACATTAACAATCCTTGCAAATTGTTATTGGAAGGCCAGACTTTTCCTTCCTTTGATATAATTTTAGGAAACACGATTTGTCCATTTAGCATTTCAGGTACTTGTACTGCACAAGCACACAGTGCTTGTTCATAGCGTGGGAGCACAACGCTCTGATTCAAGCAATACCAATAGTTGACCAGCTGAATGGGGAAATGAGAAGTCCTTAAATGATACTAAAATAAACCATGGCAGAGCTGGCACTCTGAAAGATAAAGATAAAGTACAGCAAAGATTTGAAAGTGACATTTGTAACGACAACTCGTTATTACCATAAAAATACACTGTGGTGGTTATGGTGCATGGAATGTCCTTTATTAAAGAACAACTATACCTGGGTCATACGCGTATAATGTAAATGTTACCTAAAATAACAGCAACAAACACAGATGCATTAATAACATGATCAGGGATTTAATGCAGAGATTTCCCTTGATGGAGTAAATAATGGAACCTACATTGTAACCCTTGGCTTTATCGCTTTCTTTATTTACTAAACAGAGTATCAGTACATTGGTGTATAAATAGACCATGACTATTCATATATTGAACATGAACAAAGGTCTTATTCCATTATAAGGGAGAAAACCAATGGCCCCACCCCAGCTTATGGTTCCAACGTACGGAGGAACTACGTTCCATATTGGAGTTGGTCTTTGGTGCGTATGTGGGCATGCCCACCATCCCAACAATATGGACCCAATGAAGTTCCAAGCAATACTGAAGTTTGAGCATAATAATTAGCTGCTTTTTTTTTTTTAACAGGGAAAGGGTGAGAGAGAAACAGAACGTGAGAGGGATGAGTTACGGGAAATTGATGTATAATTGTGAGGTTTCAGAATGGAGACCTCTCTGTTAAATTATTATGAAACACATGGAAACTGTAAACAATGGGCATCTTGAATGCTGTTTATCTGTATTGTAATACATGAAACAGAATAAAATTTGATTTACCAAAAATTGAGGGGCAGTATTTTGAGACACAAAAAAAAAACTAAATGGAAGAAAAAAAAACAACAACAACAACAACAACAAAAAAGTCATATTTGGTAAACAGACCCAGTTTTTCAAAGGCTTCTTTCTTCCGGTTCCAAACCTCCGCTGCAGATTCCTCGTAACTACGCTCAGAACACAGGATCGATTCCAGATGTATCTTCCTCTTCCTTGGGAATTTGAAATGAGCTGGAAAAAAGCACAAATATGTCAATGAATGAAAGCAGTCTATAAAAGTAGACATGGCATGCTCCTATTTTCCTTAAGCTGTCAGTTGCAAAAGGAAGAGCTTATAGCACTGATAGATAGGGAGAAAAGATGGAGGCACTCAGTTCAAGGATATACAGTGATATATACAGTGAGTCCCATCACATCAGACATCATTTGTTAAATTTAGGGGAGAAAGGTAAACAGAACACTACAAATCCCTGATAATTATGTTTGTATGGCTAAAAGACACATATACATAATCAAACCAGGGCTTGCCAAACTTTTATGGGCAGAGACCCACTTTTCAAAACTGTAATTTTTCGAGACCCACTTGCTTTTAATGCATATTTTAAAAAGTGGCAAACCGCTTTAGAGGCATACAATTGGCACACTGTAGCAATCCGCTTTAGATGCATACAATTGGCACACCGTGGCAATCAGTTTTAGAGGCATAAAATTGGCACACCAAGGAAATCCGCTTTAGATGCATACAATTGGCACACCATGGCAATCAGCTTTACAGGCATACAATTGGAACATTATGGCAGCTTTAGATGCATAAAATTGGCACACTATAGCAATCCGCTTTAGAGGCTTACAATTGGCACACCATGGCAACCAGCTTTAGAGGCATAAATTCAGAACATCATGGCAATCAGTTTTAGAGGCATAAAATTGGCACATCATGGCAATCAGCTTCAGAGGAATACAATTGGCACATCATGGCAAACAGTCAGATGCATAAAATTGGCACACTGTGGCAATAGTTTTAAAAGCATAAAATTGGCACACCATGGCAATCCGTTTTAGATGCATAAAATTGGCATAATATGGCAGTTGTAGAGGCATAATTCAGGGATATCATGGCAGTTTTAGAGGTAGAAACTTTGCACATCATGGCAATCAGTTTTAGAGACATACAACTGATTACTCACAGACTCAGAATCAGAAGTGCTGTGTCCTGCTCTTTCATCCAGGCACCTCACATTGATTATCCCAGTGGTGGAACTAATGTAGAGTTAGCCCTGGTGCAAGAATGTTTTCTGGGCCCCCCTCTAGTGAAAGTGTAGCCAAAAGGTAGATCTCCATCTGTCGGAGAATTTCAACAATGCTATACCAGATGGGGATCTACCATTTTCTTATCATTGCAGGGTTATATTTGTGAGCAGTGTTTGAATGTAAGCATGTTTTTTGTATTAAGTATATGTGTACATGTATGGGTGTATTTGTATGTACTGTTGCCATTGGAATGTAGTGGTGTACTTGTTTGCAATGTTTGCATCTGAATGCAGGGGTGTTTTGTATGTAGTGTGGGACTTGAAATGCAGGTGTGCTTTTTGTGTGTAGTATTGGTGTTTGAAAGGGAGGGCAGGGAGTGAAGGGGTTACATTGGCGGAGGGCACGGTGTGAAGGGGTTACATTGGGGGAGGGCAGGGAGAATGTCTGGGGGCAGTGTCCTACCTTTCATGAATTCAATGGTGGTCCAGTGTCTCCCTGGTAGTCCAGTGGGGTAACTCTTCGGTCTGCAGCTCCGCCGGGTGCAGAGCTGCAGACAGTGTAATAAAAGTCTCACGAGCGCCCAAGAGTGTTGCCATGGTAACGCTCTGGGTGCTCGCGAGACTTCTATCAAATTTCCCTACCTGTGAAAATTCCCTACCCTAGTCACTTCCTGTGAGGGGAATCAGCTGGATCCTGTGCTGCACATGCGTGATAGCACTCCTGCTACTCCTCCACAGCAAGGTCCTGGAAGGTAAGTAAAACTAGTTTTACACTTTCAGGATAGTTAGTGCATTCACTAAGCTTAGGACATGGGACATTTAGGGTTGATGTTAGGGTTCAAATTAGGGTTAGGATTAGGGACTTGTTCATATTTAGTGATATTTCACATTAGGGGAATATCACTAAATTGTGCTTTTTCACGCTTTATTGTAACCCTTACCCCAAGGGTTAGGGCAAAGACAGAGTTTGAGAGAGGTTAAAATCACTTACCTAACCCTAATTTGAACCCTCACCTAACCCTAAATTCCCGTGTGGCTAAGCTTAGTAAATGCACTAACTATAATGAAAGTGTAAAACTAGTTTTACTTACCTTCCAGGACCTTGCTGTGGGGGAGTAGCAGGAGTACTAGCACGCATGTGTAGCCCAGGATCCAGCTGATTCCCCTCATTGGAAGTGACGAGGGTAGGGGATTTTCACGAGGTAGGGGAATTTGATAGAACACCGGAGGTGCTGGGCAGACTGATTGGAGGGAGCCCGGCGGCATACAGGGCAAGCCGCTGGGCTCCTTCCTGGTGTCGGGCCCGCGGTCACGGACCGAAAGCCCGACTAATCAGTCTGCTTGCCTGACTTCCCGGCGGCCCTGGATGTGTGGGTCAGCGCAACCCACACTTTGGGAACCGCTGCATTAATCTAGAATAATAATACTTGGTACACTCATATGGAGAATATCTCACCATTTCCTGGTAGTTCACAGAAGAGTTAATCTCTTAAATAACTAAAAAATGGTTTGTCACATTAGATCAATTGCCAATAAGCAAATATAAATAAGTAATCACAAACACTGTCACATGCACATTGCATCTGCTAATAAATCCTTATTGATAAACAAATGCATCACATCAAACGGCAAAAGAAATACAGTCTAAAAGTTTAATCTGGGGGGGGTGGGGGGGGGAGTTTAACCCCCCCCCTCCCAACTTCACTACATATTATTGCCCCCTGGTAACCACCAAATGCCCCTAGGTTCCCCATTTCACCTTTATTTACCTGTTCGTTCTTTGCCTGCATCTTGGTCCTAGGCACCGCCATCTTTGTCTGGGCAGATGAAGGCCCTGCAGGATAAGTCATCTGCCCACACTAGATAGCACTGTGGTTTAACACTTGGGCATTCGCTAATGTCAGAAATTCGAGAATTTCGGCTATTCCTTCATTCATCAGAAAGACGAATAAACAAATAGAAATTGATTAAAAACTAATTTCAATTCGGTCGTCGTTAGTTTGTTTAGTTTATTACAAGGAGGGAGGTACCGGTTTGTGGCTCCCTCCTTGTAATATGTGACAGAAGCGGCAGGGAGCTTTGCTGTGCTCTCCTTCCTGCCCCTACTTGCAGCATAGTGGCATGTATACTAAACTGTGAGCAGCCGGTGGCTATTGTATCCCCCCTGCCCTTAGCCCTCACTTGTCACCTGTGACTAATTGTTAAAATAAAGCCCCCATCAAGTCATTAGGGGTCATCAAGCTCTAGTCACCCCCATCCCAGTGACTAGGGGTCCCCAAGCCACTAGTTTTCACCACTCCACCCATTGACAAGGGGTCCCCAAGCCCCTCGTTACAACCAATAAAAAAAAAAAAAACCCTACCTACCACTCTCACCCTAATAATAGTGGGGGGTGAGATGATAAAAATCCTTAAATACAGTCAAACTAATACATTTATTTATTTTTAGCCCCGCGTGGCGCCAGGCAGTGAGGCAGAGCATCGGAAGCCATCAGGCAGGCTTCCGACGCTCTGCCTGTGGTTAATGTCTCAAGGGGTCGAGGCACTCAGTGGGGGGGGAAAAAAAAAATGAACACCTTCCCTTCCCATGTACTTACCCGATCACCACCGATCCCCTGCTGGCGATTGGTGTTCTTCAATGGGGGGACTGTTTGACAGCCGAGACAGTCCCCCCTCAGCAAATTAGGACCCCCCAGGGGCCATGTGATCGCTTTGATATTGTCAGTGAAAGTTTTTTGCATTTTTCACACACAAACGGCACGTTAATTTATTAAAATATTGTTGTAATACGTTTTACTGTTTTGAAACACTAATATTTGTGTTCAACAAAGTCTCCAGAGTATAACAGTACCCCCGGTAAGAAAATTGAAAAGCGGTCTGGTCACTAAGGGGTTAATAGCCCCCACTCGCAGGAGGGATATTTTAAACTCCCTTATTTACTAATAGTAAGTCATTTTTGTAGGGTACCTTGGTTCCCTCACCACAGGTACAATAAAATCATAAAAATTACAAGTAAAATATACAGGGGGTTCAGGATGGCAACATATGTAAAAACATAAAAAAGAACAATATAAAGTGCAGATGGTAATATTTAGTGATCCACAGATAAAAAAGCAGGTAGACACACGTATGATGGGGTAAAACCAAAAATTTTAGGCCCTAAATTTTAGGCTGATGATGACTGAGGAAGCGGTTTTACATAGTGAAATGAGTTTTGGCGATATTAAAGGCTGGACTAAGTGGCCCTTTTATTGTTTTTATGTACATATTTTGTTATAAATAAATCGTTAATTCAAAGCACTGTTGCCGGCACTCTATATTAAGCAACCAAGGATACAGAAGAGGAGTCACTCCATAGACTGACACAATGCACTAGCTAGGCTCCTGTTTAGGTGAGCAAGACCATTTTATCATTCTGGTCATCTGACTCATATTGCACTATTATCTGTTCCTGTTTTCTCATGGAAATTGACAACTGGGATTGAAAAGAGGTGGCATGCTTCCTTAAAAGGCATATCTGCAACCCCATTATGAGGGTATCTAGGTGCTTTTTTAAATCTGTGGATGACTAAATATTACCATCTGCACTACATAGTGCCTATTTTTTATTGTTGCTTCCCTGGACCCCCTGCAAGAATCATAGAAAAAGGGTAAGATACCTCCTTCCATTCACAAGCGCTCCACCTATAATTTATAAGTATTTTTCCCTTTCACAGTAATTTATACTTATAATTTAGTAAAGTTGGCTGAAAGACCAAATTTGGTCTTTCAGGTGTTTAGTAGATAGCTCCCTAATCCTTGTGTGAATTAGGGGACTATCTACTAAGAGGATGCAGCCGGGGCACGGAATGGAATTTCATTCTTTTGAGTGAAATTCCCAACGGGAAAAAAATGGCCAAATTGCATCCTAACACTAATTGACAAACGACACATTCTGTTAGGATGAAATTCAGTCCATTCGCCGGGGCCCTAGTCTAAATGGCAGGATGTTTGGGAAAGGCGAATGAAGCAATGCGAGACCATGAAGGGGGTGCAGGAGTATTAGAATGTGGAGGATATAAACGAATGTATTGCAACACACAGGGATGAGGGAGTCTGACTTTCGATGAATTGCTCAAAACTGGATAAGGACAGGAATTCACCAAAGACCTGTCTGACAGAGTGCAATAATGAAAATGGCAACCATCAATGTGAGACAATGATGATTACTAGAGAAGAACATTTCTGTTCGTAGTATTTTGTTACCTGCCATGTTTAAGAGGATAGACTCTGGATAGATCTCTCCCTCCTCTTTACGTAGCGCCAGTCTCCTCTTCCATTCTTCTTCTTCAGGGGCCACCACAACTGCTTTACGAATGAAATGTCCAAAACACTTCATTTTTCTTTTTTGAGCACATTCATGTACTGTGCACTGAGGAAGGAAGAAAAGAAAATTAAGAATGACAAATGCTATAGGTAAGCTTAAAAAAAAAAAAAAAAAAATCAGTGGGGTAGGTGAATTGAACAGAAATATTTTCACCTGATCAATTATATAATTTCCTCTCCGACGGCCAGCTATTGGCATGAGATGGTTTAGACATTGTGTGGCCTCCTTGATCAAACGGTCCCTGGTTTTGGAGTTCTCCTCAAAAGGCTCAGGTCCAACAGTCTGTATAGAAATAAGAAGTGGGACTGTTTGCATATCACATTCTTTCCTATTCCATATTACATGCTTCATACCTTCAATTGTGGTATAAGTCGGTCTATACACAGGTGTGTATAATGCTTATCTGGGTTCTCTTGCATGTGTTTTTTAACCCAAGTCGTCTTTCCTGATCCAGGAAGTCCAATCATCATCACTACCTGATAAGAGTGAATGAAAGGAAATCAATACTTTTTTCATTTTGGTTTTCCAACATAACCTCATAAACATCAAGTCTCTTTTATACATGTATGTTGTACAAAAAGCTTCAGTTGCGGCGGATAAAATGACTGTATAGTTTTTAAAGATATCAAACATAAACAGATTCCTTCAAAATTATTTATGTTTGCCCAGGTATAAAACATTCCACAAGTGAGTCCACTGCCCCACAGTAGGCGATAAACAGGAAAGTAGGCCATGACCAAACCAATCCCCCCCAGTGATCGGGAAGTGGCAGCAGTATCGCATACCCAGTTCCCCGCGAATGCTCCTGTTCTATGTTGGTATGAAAGCACAGGTCACCTCTTGCCTGTATTTAGTACATAGTGAAGCCATTAATTGTGCTTCTGTACGTTATAAAGACATTTGGGAAGCCAAAATGGGTTTCTCGATCAATAAATGTGGAGGGTTAAGTCAACCATACTCTGCAGAAGCGTTAGTTGGGTAAGTAGGCGGTATAGCTCCTGCAGAACAACAGGCACTGTCGGGTCCCGATGGTCACCTCCCCTTTCAGTCAAACTTTTCCCCCACTCTAGTATTATCACTTAACCTGTGGGTTGTTTCATATGCAATGACCCAACCATGGTGAGAAGTTGTGATGCGTCTCTTATAGCCATACAGAACGGAATATTCTCCTCACCATCCGTAACTATATATATATATATATATATATATATATATATATATATATATATTGCTCACAGCAGCTGTAAAATACAAAGAACCCCGATAGCAATACCTGTAGGTCCTATAACTGTTTCTCATATCCAGTGGTCACGCAGGACCATTTCAATTCAAGTAGACATCTCCGGGAGCCTCAGATTCTCTCTTCACTATTGTTATATCAAGTGATATGTCAGTACCACAAAGGCATCAATTCAAAGATTATCTTATACATAAACTATAATGAAACAAAACCAACCAAACTTGGGAGGGAGAAGAAGGGGAGATCATCTGGTCCTCTACCTGTCTGCCTCTATATATTTAGAGTCCCCTGTCTTCAACTCAGCCTCGTCAGGAAGTCCACTGTCTTAGAGCACCTTTATTTCATATACCTATTTAGAGTTTTATTTCCTGTTCCCAATTATCTCCCCATATTGTCCTCTTGCGCACCTATATCATTGTCTATTTTTAAAAATTTTCAAGGGTTCTTTTAGAGAATTTCCTTTTTTCGGTGTGCTGCCTTTTATTTTGTTATATAGAGCTGCTCCATTTTTTTTTCTTTCTTATAGCAAGGATAGCCTTATGCTTATCCCACACATGGTTAACAACTCCTTTACTGTGTTAACCTCTACAACTTCAGCTGGAAGGCTATTCCATACATCCACTACTCTCTGAGTAAAGTAATACTTCTGGATATTACTTTTAAACCTTTTCCCCTCTAATTCAAGACTATATCCTCTTGCAGTTTTTCTTCTTTTAAATACACGCTCCTTCTTTACGGTGTTGATTCCCTTTATGTATTTAAATATTTCTATCATATCCTCGTCTCGTCTTTCCTCCAAGCTACACACGTCAAGATCCTCTAACCTTTCCTGGTAAGTTTTACCCTGCAATCCAGTTTTGTAGCCCTTCTTTGAAATTGCTCCAAAGTATCAATATCCTTCTGGAGATATGGTTTCCAATACTGCGTACAATACTCCAAGTGAGGTCTCACCTGTGACTGCCAATACCTCTCCCTATACAACCAAGCATACTGCTAGCATTTCCTGCTGCTCTATTACACGGTCTGCCTACCTTCAAGTAAACTGAAATAATTACCCGAAATCCCTTTCCTTAGATGTTGAGGTTAGTACTCTATCAAATATTCTATACTTTGCCCCTGGGTTTTTATCTTGCTTTTTTCCACATTACATGTCAGTTTCCACCGCACTGAGCTAAATACCTAAATCATTTGCCATTTGGCTTATCCCTCCTGGAACATCAACCCTGTTACATATCTTCGTATCATCAGCAAAAAGAAATACCTTACCATCAAGACCTGCAATATCACTAATAAAAATATTAAAGTGAATGGGTCCAAGTACAGATCCCTGAGGTACCCCACTGGTGACAAAACCATGCTTCAAATATTCTCCACTGACTACAACTCTCTGTTGCCTGTCACTCAGCCACTTGCGTAACCCATTTAATAATATTGGAATCCAAATGCAAAGATTGCAGTTTATTGATAAGCCTTCTATGTGTGACACTGTCAAAAGCCTTACTGAAACCTAGGTAAGCAATGTCTACTGCACCATGGTAATCTATTAGTTTCGTTACCGAATCAAAATAAATATATATATATATATATATATATATATATATATATATATATATATATATATATATATATATATAGTTAATACAATGTTAAACTAAAATCTGCACACCAGTCAAGCCATAAGACTTGCTTTTCCCACAGAAATCCCAAATCTGCAGTGATGTTACAACCGCAAAGGATTCTGGGTGGGCATATGCAAATTAGTTTAACAAAGAATCACATTTTTGCCTCATTCCATTTTAAACATGGATTCCTTTTAATCTGTGTTTGCAGTATACAACTGCTTGGAACACAATTTAGGAAAAGATGCAAAACCAGTGAACCACTCATGGACAGCTGTTTCGTTGTTAATGCAACTCTTCAGCATGAGGTTGGTTACTGGTTTGCTTATTGAGGCTTGGTAGTGCTTGGGAAGCAAAATCCAATTAGGTTATGGTGGGGAAAAATTGTGATTGAAAACCCCTTCCACCTGAAGTCTGTGGGTAGTTAATACAATGTTAAACAATATATATATATATTAAGATTACTTTGGCCCCTTTGGAGGTCACCCCTGGAAAGCTTAAATTGAGGAGTCTCTTGAAGCAGTTTATACTGCAAGTATGTATTTTAAGTTAGCATGTTAATTTCTGATGTTAAAATTAGTGGAGGATCGATCAATATTGGGGTACTGTGACATAGTGTTGGGTTTAACACAATATGACCATATGGTGGAACTAAATCCAGATATTGATTTGCTAAGATAGGTGATTTTAAGTAGCCTTGTTAAATGTAAAGCTGTATTTTTGCTTGTGTGTGCGCTGTTCCTTTAACCGTCTTTTGTATATGTTTTGGTCTTTATAGCAACACCACTGCTTGGATATGCATTTCTGAGTGTGCCCCCAATTCCCATTTTTTTTCCTGTAAGATTAGTTTGGCATGATCTTCCTGAAGTAAACCCATGTCGTCTCTGATCTTGAAATCCATGTGAGTTTAGATGTTCATCAATCCTATCCCTTAACATGGTTTCCATTACTTTCCCCACTACTGAAGTGCATAGTACAATAGACAGGCTTGCATTAACATTTCACAAGATAATACATATATTAATGGAGAAGTGATGGCAACCTATTAAATAACAAGGAAGCTACAATTTTCATAATAAGAGAGAACAAATGAAACTGGATTGCAGCTCTATTAGAATCAGAGATAGATAAAATCATTATAGAAAATAATAAAACTGCAGATAGGTACAGGAGACAATAACCACTGGGTGTTCACATTTGGTTGCTCTAGGTAAGCATTTAGAGGTGTTATCCCTCTTTTTACTGACTGGGCTATTTTCTCTTCTGTGTGTGCTTTGGGGGCTCATAAGTTTATATGCCTCTTTTTGCCTAATCTTATAGATCTGTCTTTCTTCCTCACTCTGTTTTTTTAGGTTTTATTTTTTTAATAATTACTAAATGCTAACTTTCAGTTTTTTACTATTTTGGCCACTTCTGCAAAGTACCACCTAATGCAAGTTTCTGTTGCCTTCAGGAGTGCAACTTTTACATAATCCCATTTCTCTTGGACTCCATTTAAACTGCTCCAGACTGATCATGACTCCTTACGCAAATTCTGATTTTAGAAAAGTCTGTTTTTAATAAAGTATAAAACTTTTGTTTTTGTGTGGTGTGTCATGGTTTTTATATTAAACCCCACTGACTGGTGATCACTAGATCCTAAACTTTTACCTACAGTAATATTGAACACCAAATCTCAATTTGTTAAAGGTACACTATAGGGTCAGGAACACAAATATGTATTCCTGACCCTAGAGTGTTATAACCACCATCTAGTCCCCCAGACGTCCTCATTCCCTTTTAAATATAGCAAAATCTTAAGTCTGCTGCTTCTGACTCTGACCCTGATCTGCCTGCTTGGCTGACATCATCAGAAGTGATTCTATGAGCCAGATCATGGACAGAGTGAATACAAGTCAAACACAGCCCTGACCAATCAGCGTCTCTTCATAGAGATGCATTGAATCAATGCATCGAAAGTTCAGTGTCTCCATGCAGAGGGTGGAGACACCAAATGGCTGTGCTGCACATTGTGCTGCACTACCCCAGGAAACACCACTAGTAGCCATATGAGGAGTTACCAGGGGAGGTATCCCTAGGCTGTAATGTAAACACTATTTTTTCTCTGGAAAAAAATAAACAGTTTACTGCAAAAAGCCAGAAGAGAATGATTACACTCACCAGAACAAATAGAATAAGCTGTAGTTTTTTTTCTGGTGACCATAGTGTCCATTTAACACTAAATCTAGTATGGCCTCCTTACGAGTTGGCTCCTCAACGACTATTTTTAGAGATAATCCCCGTAGGGAATTTAGAATATGTGTGCTCCTGGCACAAGCAGCTATTTTGGTTTTCCAGTTCACATCAGGAAGATTAAAGTCACCTATGATAATAACTTCCCCCTTCAATGTCATTTTAGCTATCTCATCAAATAGCAGATTATCTAACACCTCTATTTGTCCAGGGGGCCTATAAATCACACCTACATAAGTTACTGTGTGATTACCAAATTCTAATGTAACATAAACTAACTATGTTCGCCTCACTAACTTTTATTATGTTAGATTTTAGAAACATAGATAGAAACATGGAATGTTCGGCCCATCTACTCTGCCCAATTTTCTAAATACTTTCATTAGTCCCTGGCCTTATCTTATAGTTAGGATAGCCTTATGCCTATCCCACGCATGCTTAAACTCCTTTACTGTGTTAACCTCTACCACTTCAGCTGGAAGGCTATTCTATGCATCCACTACCTTCTCAGTAAAGTAATACTTCCTGATATTTTTAAGACTATGGCCTCTTGTTGTAGTAGTTTTTCTTCTTTTAAATATGGTCTCCTGCTACATTTTATGCTATCCTTCACATACAGGGCCAACGCTCCTCCTTTCTTGCCTTCTCTGTCTATTCCCTATAAAGAGTACCCTGGTATTGCTATGTCCCAGTCATTTTTCTCATCATACCATTACCAAGTAACAGCCATTAAAGCTACATTCTTAGTTGCCATTATTGCCACAAGTTCATGAATATTATTCCCTAAACTGCAAGCATTTGTAGACATGACTCTAAGCTTACCATTTTGAAACACATTTGAATAATTTTTAATTTTTTTTAATTTAACATCCTTGTGTCCCTGACCTGGCTCAAAAATACATGTAGTGTCACATTAGGTTTATGCAGATAGGTTTTGGCCTAAGGGTCTACGATGCAGCAGCTGAAGTGGAGGAATGAGGTCCCAGAGTCTACCTGGGGAAAGAAGTGCATCTCTACAATACCTAAAAGGTTTCTCTTGTCTACCTTACACAACTTAGTTGTGTGGTTTATATCTCTTACCCTCCAACCCTTTTAATCTCACTCTTCCTGTGTTCTGTTATACTCATAACCTCATTCAAGACCTTTCAAATAATTTTTTTCCTTCTCCAAGGGGAAACAAAACCAAATTGCGGTACCACAGAGACCGATCCCATCTTTATCTAGTTTAGTGTAATCAGGATAACTGTCCTCCAAACCTCCCCTGCAGACCACGTCACTTTAGTCTCCAAAAGATGATACAGCTGAGATTTAAGAAATTAAATACTGAATCCATATAAATGGTAAAAATAAAAATAATAGGTGCTGCTCAAGGTTACATATCCACAGGCACCTTGCCTTAGCTCATTACTCCTACTTGGAAGCACCAGAGGTCCTATCAGCCTGTTGGTGGTTCCGGTGTAGTCAAAGAGGTAGTGGAGTCAAGGACAACTTGGGCGCACCGGAGTAAAAGGTCAGCAGATCCGGCCATAGCATACGCACTGATGGGAATTGCAATTAATAAAGGTGGGTCTCCATATCAGAAGGTTCCTTAACCAGGAAAGAGTCCTTTGAGGTGAGCACCATTAGTCCCGTGGGAAATTAGTAAATAAATAGTTGAGTTCAGCCATCTTTTATTGTAATATAACGATCTTATTTTCATACCACTTTGTGACATACCTCACATTCCTCTATCGATTTTGGCACTGGGGATGTTCGTCTCAGCTCCTGTGATGTCATGTCTTGCAGATATTTGAATCCACTACGTGGCTGATGCCATGGTTGAAGCTTCTTTCCAAAGTTAACCTGAAATGCACAGCCTTTGCATATCACATGGGGTATAAGTGCCGTGTCTCCAAGAGAACTCTTTTCCACAACAAAGGCCAGACCAAGGTCTACTCCATTCTTGGAAAAAGATAACTCTACTGACGCACCCTCCATATCCTGGGAAAGAGAAAGAATATAGACACGTAATTATTTATACATTTTATTGTATTATACCACTGATTGATATAATCTTCTAGTATTCAATAAAATATTTATAATATTGTTATGTAATTACAAAAATATCCAAATAAAAACTATTTGAAAATAGACGCATCTTGTTAAAATGACGGCTTTTACAAATTGCTTAAACTGAAATTATGCAGCATGTCTATAATCTCTCATACACCTTTTTACATATAAAATCATACATACTCAAATCTACATTACATAAAAATCCTTTTATCTTTTACATTTTGTGAAGGATAACTTACAGCATAGCAGCCAATCACATCGTACTCTCTAAAGGTTTTCCCGTAAATTTCAAAATGTGAATTGGAAGCCTTGAAGCCTCGGCTGTCATAAGCAAAAGACAGCTCATCCTCCCCTACAGAGGAAGATAAAAATAGAAAGGTAAAATTTGTTTAGTGATAATTCTATGCAGAGTGGTGATTGTCCACAGATGCCAATAACATGGATTTACACTGAACTCAATGTAATGAGACTATTTACTGTAGGATTCCAATTTCCTACCTGTGGAATTTTAGACCAATATACAGCAGGATATTCTTTATATGCTGCTTTTTAAAATATGTATAATTAAGTGTCCAGGACAACAAAGTGAATCTGTCAATCTGGCACAGCAACTATGCCAGGAACTGAGTGAAATGAGAGCAGAAGATCCCTCCTACAGATGGTTCCTCTGCTTTCTGTCACTGTGATAACATAACATAGTTGCTGTGCTTGACCAATTGATGAGCATAGCTCATTCTTTGCTTGAGAAATATCAGAAAGTAATCACAGATTTAGCTCTGTTCGGATGCCAATAAGCTTTTAAGTTTCCAAAAAGGGCTATTCAGGAATGTAAGTGGGCAGGATGTAAATGGGAGTGAAAGGATGGGTGTTACAACAGAATAACAGCCATAGCAGGATGGCTACTCCATTAACACTAAAGCTATGATAATTAAACACACCAACAACCCCTGAAGTAATACAATTTAGTTTCTCACTATTACGGCTTAATGCATAAGAAAGAGTTTTCGTTTAACATGAGCTTGTTATGCAGGGCATGTAAAAGGACAATTTCAGCAAAAATAATTTAAAATAAAAAATAGATTGTAAATCGTATTCTACCAAAAGAACTTATAAAATTAAATGTGTCCTCACATGTTACTCTTCTAATGTCATATACCTCCTCTGGTGCTTATGTGGATTACAATACATCAGCATGACTACAAGGAAGTTTTTAAATATGTATAGCTGAACGCATGGACAATATCCAGAGAGGGTATATGAACCATAGTGTCTCTGCACATTTTTCTGAGGTACACAATGGTGATTCCACTCTTTTACGTCATGGTGTAATTTTTAAACGACAAAAAAAACAACTGGAGGGGGAAAGACTCCATAAAAGAGTTTGCAAAGGTGGAAGGCAAGTGGATCTATGAAATGAACACTTTAGCACCATATGGTCTAAATTTAGATTTTAAGTTTCTTCACTTTCTATTATGTGTGTGTATATTATATATATATATATATAGTTATTTATTTTTAGATTATGTATTATTAATAAACAAAAAAGAAGATCTATATATTTTATATAAGGTGTCCCCACTCTTGCCGTATAACACCAGATCCCCCGAAGGAAGTAGAATACTAAAGTTTTTTTTTGTGTGTGTGTGTTTGTGATATATGAAATAAGAATTACAATATTTTAGATTTTATGTTTAACAAAATGTGTAACCTGTATTTTTTTTTTTTTTATGATTTTAGCACTACTCTTTACCCATATTTTATGATTGTGTTTGCATTTTAGAGTTTCTTCTTGGTTTTTAACCCCTTAAGGACACATGACTTGTGTGACATGTCATGATTCCCTTTTATTCCAGAAGTTTGGTCCTTAAGGTGTTAAACACATTGAGAGAATATATATTTAGGTCTTTTAGATTACATATCGCTATTATTAATGTTATGATTAAGGTGAGGGTAAGGACTTAAATTATTGTATTTGCCCATAAAATATATGGACTCTGTATACACAGTGAGGGCAGACCGGCAACACTGATGCCTCGTCATATGACGGGGACGGAAGTGACATCAATATGAAACCGGAAGTAGAACATCAGATGATCGACGAAGTCCGGATTCGGAAGTGGATACCCGGAAGAAAACAAAGGAGAAGCTGATTAACTAATTAACCAACTATAAAAGCCACAGATCCAGAGTAAGGACTCTAAGCACTTGGAAGATGACCTAATAAGGTCAAAACAAGTCTGCTAAGAGAGATGTTTGTTAAGGTTTGATATTGCCAGCTTTTTTTATTATTAAGTGAACTTGCTTTTTAATATCCGCTACACTGCTTAAAGTGAAGTATTGGCATTTCTCCTTAATCATCTACTATTTGTTTTACTCCAAAGTTCATCTCCTGAATTTTGTTTAGCCTGGATAGGCACCCTTGGGCTGTGCATACGGCTCTGCATCATAAGAGTGTGGTTCCACTTGAACACACACCATTGTATGTACCAAACTGTTTTACGCTATGTTGCTTATATTTTCTCTTGAAGGTCTATGATTCTAAGATCCCTGCAATTTATCTACATAAGTAATTTTATTGTCTTTGTGTGTTACACTTGGTTCTTATTGTTTGTATTGGTACTTAGTCTTGTTTTCATTGTATTCTCTAATGCTAGGGGGATCACTTTTTACCATCAACAAAAATATTTGCTGTAAAAAGCGCCTAGATACACTTTTTCCTTCCTTTGTTATTTGAACCTACAAATGAGCAGAGATTGCCATAGGGTTTCAGACCTAAACATGTATTTACGTAGATTCGGTGTGTAGTATGATCCCTCTTAAAGAGGAATTGACCGGAGAATCCCAAATTATACAAGTCCAATATCCTTAATTTTAGTTAAAGTAGGCCTGTGCGTCCTTTTTACTCAGACTTTAGCCTCCGTAATTAACAATACAGACTAGTTTGTTTAATATTTTGATAAATGTAAAAGTGAAAAAGAAAAGCAAAAAGAAAGCTTCTCACACCAAACGTATGCTTGCATTGGGAATATACTTTAAGCATTTGTGTAAGGGGTATCCCAACTAAATTATCCACATACTAGGGATTATTCAGTCACAATCGTATTAATTATGTGTCCTTATAAGGATCCTTCCTCAACAACCAGAGTGAATAAACACAGAATCCACTTGGGGGAAGAAAAAAAAATAACACTTAGCCTTATTGAATACATATTGAAACATTCCAAAATGTATTATATTAGGCTAAGCTGACTTTGGGTGCTCTATACTTTTGAATTGCCTTAAAGGACCACTATAAGCACCCAGATCACTTCAGCTTAATGAAGTGGTCTGGGTGCCAGGTCCAGCTAGGATTAACACTTTTTTCTGTAAACATAGTTTCAGAGAAACTGCTATGTTTATAATAGGGTTAATCCAGCCTCTAGTGGCTGTCTCATTGACAGCCGCTAGAGGGCTTCTGCGCTTCTCACTGTGATTTTCACAGTGAGAAGACGCCAGCGTCCATAGGAAAGCATTGATAATGCTTTCCTATGGACTGGCTGAATGCGCGCGCAGCTCTTGCCGCGCGTGCGCATTCAGCCGAAAGGGAGGAGAGGAGGAGGATCGGAGGCGGAGAGCTCCCCGCCCGACGCTGGAGAAAGGTAAGTTTAACCCCTTCCACCCCCTAGAGCACGGCAGGAGGGGGACCCTGAGGGTGGGGGCACCCTCAGGGCACTATAGTGCCAGGAAAACGAGTATGTTTTCCTGGCACTATAGTGATCCTTTAATTGCACCATATTCTTTGTGCACCTCGGCCCCTACAAGGTGGAATCTTCAGTTACAAACATTAATCAGAATTGGCTACATAATCCTTATGAGGGCACATACAATTGATAATATTGTGACTGACAGTTATATCCATTTCAATATGGAATACATACTCTTTAAAGGGAACTATAGTCACAAGTTCTGATGACTATAATCCATCCCTGCAGGCATTTTCATACAAACACTTTACACTACTGAACAAGGGACACCTCCAGTGGCTGTCACTCAGATGGCTACTAGAGGTGCTTCTTGGGTCAGTACCATTCAACATCTCCATGCTCTGCGTAAGCGCTGACCTTTTCCCATAGAGATGCATTGAGTCAATGAGGAGATGCTGAATGGACAGCGGGGTGGTTTACCTCACGTGCGCATTAGCCTCCCAATACTTTCCAAACCATTGGTTTGGCTGAGATAGTCCGTTCTTATGATCTCAGTCAAGGAGGTGGATCAGGGGTGGAGCCAGCACCGTGCCCTGCTGCAATGAAGGTAAGTTTATTACCATTTTAAGTGGGCTAAGGGGAGACTGGGAAATAAATAATGTTTTTTACACTATTGGGTCAGGAATGCACGTTTTACACCCTAAATGGTAGTGAATTAGGGATAACTACACATGAGAAGGATTTGGGAATTGTTATAGACACTAGATTAGGCAGCAACATGCAATGTCAATCGCCAGTTGTTAAGGCCAGTAAGGCATTGTCTTATAAATAGGGGCATAAATTCTCATGATGAAAATATATTTTTGCCACTTTATAAATTGCTGATAAGACCACACTTTGAATATGCTGTATAATTTTGGGTACCTGCTCTAAATAAGGATATTATGGCACTAGAAAATGTTCAACAAAAGTACAAAAAACATAATACACAGGGATACCATTTCTAATTAGTGGTGTAATAACTTCTTGATCCAAGGAGATATCAGACTGCCATATTGGGGTCAAGAAGGAATTTATTTCCTAGTCTGATGCAAAATTGGAAGCACTTCAGACTGGGTTTTTGCCTTTTTTGGCTTAACAACAAAAACATTTGTAAGAAAAGCTGAACTTGATGGACGCAAGTCTTTTTCAGCTATGTAACTATGTTCCTTTAACCTCTTAAGGACCAAGGATGTATCAGGTACGTCCGAGGGTAATCGGAGCGCTTCCAGCAGCTCTAAAGGTATTGCAGCTCTAATGGTACCCCCCTCACTGCCAGTGGCCCCTGGAGAACACCGGGTGAACGCTCTCCCCGGAGCGATCACTTCGGGGTCGCTCCACGTGGAACCCAGCAGTGAGGGGTCGAGGCACTCCGTAAATAGAATTTTTTTTTTTTTTTAAATGTTAATTTAAAAAAATGTAACCCCTACCCTCCCTCTCCCCTCTCCATGTACTTACCGATCGCCACCATTCCCCCGCCAGCGATCGGCATTCTTCTTAGGGGGGGGGGATTGTCTGTCCTCTGCAAAAAAGGACCCCCACATGACCACCATATATGTCCATAGTGCTGCCAGCATGGGGACTGCCTGAACTGACAAGCAGTCCCCCTGCTGGTGAAAATGTAAAAAAATAAATAAATAAATGAAAAAAAATTAAACGTTAATAAATGCTAAAAAATATATACACAGTATATATTTATACATATTTATTATAAAAAATTATTAAAAATTATATTTTATTTAAAAAAAATAAAAATAATTAAAAATACATAAAAAACTAAAAAGACAATTTAGCCCCCAGAGAACCCGACATACCTATACATGGGGGAGATATCACTGTACTCAAGAGATGTTGGTGAACACATATTGGGGTGTGCTTTGGCAGTAACCCTTAAGGTTCTCCGTACATGTATTCTTAAATTGCTATGCGTGTCAAAAATATCACCAATTCTTTTTTTAAATTTTGTTTTAATTGGCATAGATTGGTGGTAAAATGGTGGCATGAAAAGAGTCAAAATACCACAAGTTTAATACCTTTAGGTTGTCTTCTTTTTAAAAATATATACATGTGAAGGGTTATTTAGGGATTCCTGACAGATATCAGTGTTACCATCTAACGTGCGTTAAGCTTGGGGAAAAAAAAAATGGTTTGGAAATAGCAAAGTGCTACTTGTACTTATAGCCCCATAACTCCCCCCCCCCCAAAAAAAGCTAAGAACATGTTAACATTGGGCATTTCTAAACTCAGGACAAAATTTAGAAACTATTTAGCATGGGTGTTTTTTCGCGGTGGTAGATGCACATCAGATTTTGGGGGTCAAAGTTCTAAAAAGTGTGTTTTTACATTTTTTCATCATATTTCATAATTTTTTTATGGTAAATTATATGATATGAAAATAATGGTATCTGTAGAAAGACCATTTAATGGTGAGAAAAACAGTATATAATATGTGTGCGTACAGTAAATGAGTAAGAGGAAAATTACAGCTAGACACAAACACCGCAGAAATGTAAAAAGAGCCCTGGTCTTTAATAGTAAAATTGAAAAACGGTCTGGTCACTAAGGGGTTAAGGTTTAATGAATACATGCTAATCCCTGTTATATGGATAGTTTAGTTGAGATATCCCTCACACAAAAGATTTTACATAATGGATATTACCAATACAAGCAAACAATTTTTTGTGTGGTGGTTTCTTTTTGCTTTTCTTTTTCACTTTTGCAATTAGCAAAATACTCAACTATCTTGGTCAGTATTGCTAATTACTGAGTAATTTAGCACTTTATTTAATGACTAACAAGGAAGGACAAGCACTTTAAAATAAAAAAAAATTAAGCATTTGGACTTATAGAATCAGGGATTCTTCAGTCAGATCCTCTTTAAAGAGACACTTCAGACCTCTAACGCAATTTGGCTTGCTTAAATGCTTTAAGTGTGAAGAGTGTGTCCGCTTTTCGTTTTGCAAAAGTGCAGATTTCAATAGAAATTGAAACTTTTATAAACTAACCTGGTAAGACCACTCTCGCTTACAAGCAGACAACAGGTCCTGGTACTTCCTGGTTTGGTTAGCTCAATGGAGCTAAACCCAAGAGGCAGCAATTACCCAGAGCACCTGCCTTCCAAAGGCTTATCATTAAGACACTTAGGGAAGTCTGTGATTAGACTGTCACAGAAAGTCTGGGTTGGGTTAGAAGGGAGAAAAGGCAACAGACAAGAAAAATTCAGGTTTTGCCTATAGGTTTTTAGATATAACCCAATGAAAAATGCTTAATTAGAAGCATGCATGCTATCATTTAGGGTATATCTACTAAACGGTAATTTTTATTTATTTGTATTTTGGCAGTGGAGAATCCCTTTAAGGGGGATCACACTACATACCCCTTTGAAGATATTTAGGGTTAGGCTCTGTTCATTTGGAGAAGTCTCTGTTCAAGCGACCTCCCTCCCTTTTCTTTTTCCATTTCAGCAGATACCCTTTTTTTTTTTTTTTTTTTAACCCAAGCCACATGTTATGACTCAAAAGGACCAGTGGCTACTTTCTACTTCCCAAAACCCAATTTGAGATATACAGCAAATTTGAAATCTTGTGCAACAACAACACAGGTGACCTCGAAATTACCTAACTGAGGTCCAGACTGGCCAACAGACCATCCAACACGTAGCAATGGGAATTCGGAAAAACCATCTCTCAGGGGAAGATTCACAGTTCTCTAATGTGGAAAAAATGAGAAGTTTTGTTGAGCCAGTAGGATGACAGGAAAGATCAGAATTAGCAAGCGTATTAAATCCATATACAACAAACATACAGATTCTATCAGTCTTTACGCAAGTCAATTTTTAGTCACTCACCACATATCTTCATTAATAGACAAACCCTTTAGCATAATATTTACAGAGCGGTCATTTCAAACCACAAACATGTAGGGTATGTGGATTTGTTTTTTACATTTTTTATTTGCAGATGTGAATAATAGTATTTCCTACATAATAATAATAACAAAGTGTTTAACCAGGAAAGGTACATTCAGATTGCTCTGGTTTCCAAGTACGTCCTGGGGATGTTACCTTAGCCCAACATCCAGGGGTTGTTACGATCACCCAATTTAATGGTACTCATTTTATCTACCTCGGAAGGATGAAGGGCTGAGTAAACCCTGCCGGGATTTGAACCTGCGACCCCCAAGGGTTAGAACAGATTCTGCTGTTGCATTAGCCCACTGAGCTATTTCACCTACAGAAGATGGAAACCACCCTTCAAGTTGTCTGACAGTTGAAAGAGTGCAACCTTGTAATTTTTTGTTTTATTTTATCTTTTAATTATTTTCTTGGGCATAGAATTCAAGCAGCATAAAAACATCTTAGTCATCAACAAATTTGCAAAAGCATGCAAAGTGCACATATAACAGCTGGAAAGAGCCCCTTCTGAGCTAATATAAGGTATAACATATATACTTGAACATATGCAAAAACACATTTCAATAAATATAATAAGGATGACTGTTACTCCATCACTTTCCACCTTTATGGCATTCTCTAGCCTTTATTCATTGTGAATAACACAAATCTGCTTACATTAGATAGAAAACTATATGATAATATATCAGCTATAGTTTTAATGTGACCTGGAGCTGGCGTAGAGGTAGAATGCATGCAAGCCTGAACTCTCCCCAAGTACCAAAGTAGTAACTAGAAATACCTGTAGCTAACAGACATTTAAACTTCAGGTTGCTCAACACAAAACTAATAAAACTGAGAGGGGGTGGGCGGAGCCTAACTGCCGGGCTGGGAAGACACACCGAGCACCAGCTCCCCCCCATGGACCGACAGGGGTTATACCGGTCCTCACTAGACATCTGGGGCAACCAGCCAAGAGCTCACCACAAGCCTGAACCTAAGCCGCGGAGGTACAGCCCTTCACATGGCGCATCCAAGATGGTGGCTGACAGCATACTGTACAAGCAGAGCATGCTGCCAACACACCAGCAACAGTCTGATCTCTCGCAGCGTCTGAAGGCGATTTTTAACCATTTCTGGGACACACTAAGAGCGGCAACTAGCAGCCCGAACCGACATGCCTGAAACACAGACGGCAGATGAGCGGAAACACAGGCGGTGGGAGGTGAGGGGAAAACCCTTGGGTGCAAAACTACCACATCCGTCCACCCACACTTTTCCTGGCCCACCCGGGCTGCAGACCACAGGGCTATAACCCCGAAAGCATCGCCCACATGCATGGAGGCATAAGCACCACAAGCGACAGTTGACCAGATTATCTGTCACTCCCACGCAGGGAGAGCACTCGGGCCCCAAAGGATGTCGAGTTAGTGGCCATGAGATGCAGGCCTGCACACCAGCATGGGGCTGGAGGGGACACTCTTACTCACACTTGCACAGCAGCGGACCATCGAAATCCACAGACAGGCTTCTGCCGTTACATGAAAGAAAGCATCGGATGAAAGCGAGACTACCCACGGTCTCCTGAACTCATTGCAACCCGACCATGTACTCCCTTGGGTCTTGCCATGCCACACAAGCGAGAATATGGAATTTAACAGGCAGCACGACACTCAGGAGGACCCCAAACTACAGTAACTAACCTCACCCTTGAATTAGCCTATAATTAGCATAGCACGTTTATTTTATTTTACGCTATTGCATCTAACTATACCAACCACGTAACTTAACTTGTTTAGCGGGCGTAACTAGTGCCAGCCTAAAGACTGTGCTCTGTTGTGTCTTTAGCCAGTCAATTGTCATGTCAATTGCCTTATACAGATGTCAGGCTATATACGTACTTATTTCATCATTTACCATGTATGTCTGCCACATATCACGACTTGCACATATAGCACATATAGTACACCATACTTGTTCTGTTCACAGAGATACACCTAGCTGTTTTTATCATACTGTCTCTCACTAGTTATTCACTACCAAAGCTAATGTACCTATCGTATTTACTAAGCCAGCATCCTAAATATTTACCTAGAATGACTTTACTAACAAAAAATGCGCCGATATTAAATGCCACAAAATGTCTACACTGTACACTATTCTGCGCTTGCATCTGCTGATGTGGCAGCACAAGCATCTTTGTTCACCCATGCACTGCAAAAATAATAAATAAAATAAAAAAATAATAAAACTGAACGTGGTTCTCGGAGATGGAAGGTAAAAGAGAAGAGAACAATCCTGCCAGCCAATTGTCTTGGTAGTTCCCTGCAGATCGTTAGGTGTCTAGTGTGCGTTCATCTGCCCACAGTGGGCTAGAGGAAGCCGACTTCGCTGAAGAGGCGCCTGAGCCTGCATTGGGAGACCCGGATGGCTGGAATGGAACAATTTTAGATACAACTAAGGTATTTGAAACGCCCTAAATGGGAATAGGGGCCTCCGGTTTCTAATGTAGCGGCAGCCCCAATGCCAAGAGCACAGATTCCGATTCTGAGGCATCGGTAATTCTTATATTTTTCCCACCATGCGATTTGACCAGGCTCCAGGGGAAGACCCAATGATATGGAATGGAGTGGTTACAAAGTGTAGTAGTCAGTGATCTAAACTAACTAATTCATAGCATAGATTTGTGCTGACCTTGCCTGAAACTGAAGGTTAACGTCCCTTGATGATTCCGCTATGGCCTTGGTTTCTTTTGGTATGTGGAATATCCTCCCTGAGCTACGGTAAGTTTATAGCTCAGGAAAATGTGAGTGGTTTTGATAAAACTCTTACCCTCAACCTGACACAAACTATTTTACACTATTGGAGTTTTGTATCCCTTTTCTAGGCACTTCTGCCAATTTCAAAGAACACTATTGTAATATACTAGGTCAAGTATACTTTACAAATTTATTTTACATCATACATTGCGCTACACCTTCTTTTGGTTTTTGGATGCGGAATATCCTGTCCACCACGGCTTGTTTGGACTGCCTGGAGGGGAGTAAAGTGCTCCACAGCCTCCTGGTGTAATGCGGTAGCTCCTCAGGAATAACAGTCTCAGGGATGCTCCTAATTGTGACATTTTGGCTCCTGTGCCTGTCTTTAATGGCATCCAAGAGAGTAATGAATAGTGTTTGGGTCCTTTGGAGCTTAGCCATCAGGAATTCTATTGTAAGGCATCTTGAAGTTAGGCCCTGTGTGACTTTCTCCAGAGTGTGTATTTCTTCCCGCACTATGGCCATGTCCACAGCAAATAGCCGGCGACTGTTGCGGAGAAGCACCTTGATGTCACTTTTAGTAAATGGCAGCTCATTGTCCTCATCGGAGGAGGAGTGATGTAGTCCCCCAGCACATCCATGGCCTGTCCCTCAGGAGGCTAAAAGCGAGGCAGCATTTTCTTTTGTCGAGAAGGTGCCAGAGGCCTTGGTAGGCCGCAGGAGAAGGGCTCCAATATCTTGGGCACCTGCTGGTTTAATGGGTCTTGCTGTCTGGACTTCTTTCCCATAGAGTTGGTGCTCATTATACCACAAAAGCAGAGAAGGTTAAGTGATCTATAATGCTTTTACAGGTTTATGGTCACGAACCTCCCTTGTAGCACGTCTACTCCATTCGCCTGCTGGCTCTGCTCCCCACCATGCTATTTTGTAAAAAAAATAAAAAACAACAAAAAAATGTTGATGAGCTCTGGGGATTATGATCTTTTCTTTAATGATGAAAAATAAAATTATATACCTTGCTGTCAAACACAGATTTGACAAAAGGTGTTACACAAAATATGTAACTCAGAGGAAAATAAAAATAAATTGTAGTTGTTGCTCCGAAAACCATAACCACTACAAGAATTTGAATAATTTTTAAGGAACTGAGCAAAGCAGGGGTGAATTGGCTGAAAAAGCTGAGCACTCTCAGCCAATGGGCTCAGTCCTGTATCAAACCTGCAAAGCTCACTGAAGACATCTGAATGCTGCTGCAGGAGAAGACCGGATATGGCATGGGCAGCTGGGGTACACAGGTAAGTTGTCAAACCATCCTAAAATGGTTTGCTAGATTACTCTAGAAGGGGGCCATGGCACTCCTGACACCATGACCACTACACAACCTTTATTTTGACCTTCTGGAAAAAATTTATAATAGAATTATAAAGTAAGAACTGTGTGTAAAAGACTTACCTTTATTTCAAAGTAAACCTTCCCATTTGTCACTCCATGAGTGGCTCTAGACCCAGACCACAAAGAGGGAAACGTGTAATTTAAAAAGGGGCGCCCCCCAAATCGATCTGTATCCATCTTGAACTGCAGGTCACAAGTAACTGACAGAAGGAAAATATTTAGCATATGTTATCTGAAGACAAATATGCCCCATTATTAGTTGAGCTATGTATAAAAATGTAAAGCGTAAGAGTGGGGGGGAAAGTAAAAAAAAGAAGTAAAAACAATTACAAAATACTTACATATATCTAGACACACTACAAGCTCAGACAAATCTTTCGGTGCAACTTCTTCATGGGAAAGAAGACTTTGAATAAATCTTGAACAAAAAACAAATGCATAGAAATAATTTAATATGCCAGCCTTGACTTTTCTACAACAATACCAAACATAGCACATAAAAATCCTTTTCATTGATATACGCAAAACTATATCTTGTATAAACTTGTATAAAGAAGTAAGGATTTGTGTAATGTTTAGAAAAAAGAAAAGAAAACGAATACAAAGTGAGCACATGAAATAAATACTAGCATATGCTTAGACCTCTGTTAAAAAAAAAAAAAAATAATAAAAACAAGTCATCAGTTCTATAATGTCTGCTTGGAAAATCACATAAACAACAAAAAAACAAACACTTTTTCAACATACAATAGTTGACAGCTTACATAAAGGGACTCTATAGTCTCCAAACAACTTTAGCTTAAAGAAGCCGTTTTGGTGTATAGGTCATGCCCCTGCAGTCTCACTGCTCAATTTTCTGCCATTTAAGAGTTAAATCACTTTGCTTTTGCAGCCCTAGTCACACCTCCGTGTATGTGACTTGCACAGCCTTCCTAAACACTTCCTGTAAAGGGTGAGCAAAGGTTTACACTTCCTTTATTGCAAATTCTGTTTAATTTAGAATTACCTCTTGCTTTGTTCCTAGAACAACTATAGCTTAATGTAGTTGTTCTGGTGAGTATAGTCTCTCCCTGCAGTAAACACAGATTTCAGAGAAATGGCAGTGTTTACATCACAGCCTTGTGATACCTCCACTGGCCACTCCTCAGATGGCTACTAGAAGTGCTTCCTGGGGCGTGCAGCACTGACATTCAGTGTCTCCACCCTCTGCATGGAGACACTGAACTAAATTAATTAATTCAATGCATCTCTAAGATGAGATGCTGATTGGCCAGGGTGGCGTTTGGCACAATGCTTTCTTGCTTTGTGATTGGCTGAGATCATCACTTCTGATGTCAGCCAAGGAGGCAGAGCCAGCACTATCAGACTGGAATAAAAGGTAAGCCTTTAGTATATTTAGGAGGGCAAGGGGGGTGGCAGGGAACTAGATAGTGTTTTAACACATAAGGGTACAGTGTTCCCTTAATAGTTTGCTAGACCTTTCAGGAGCCTCCTGTGTGTGATTAAATGGACACTGTAGGCACCCAGACCACTTCAGCTCATTAAACCCATCACCCTTAACCCTAAAGTGGTAATTATTGCAGTTTTCATAAACTGCAATAATTACCTGTTAGGGTTAATTCCTCATCTAGAAGCTGTCTACCAGAAAGCCACTACAGGATTTCCGGATGCTCAGACTACTTTTGGTCGTCTAAACGACGCTGGAGATCCTCACGCTATGCATAAGGACTTCTAGCGTTGCGGGACATTCCATTGAATGATGCTTTCCTATGGGGAAATCCTAATGTGAGCGAGGCCATTGCCACGCATGGCATTAGGTCTCGCCCGCTGGCTGACATCGGCGAAGGAGAAGTGTGGACGGAGTTGAGACAGCGCCGAGGGACATCGGCGCTGGACCCAGGTAAGTGACAGGAGGGGTCATAGCCAGGAAAGGTTAGGCTAGAGCAGCATAAACATAAACAAAAGTGATTTAACATCTAATTTGCAGAGAATGGAGATTAGGACTTCAAAGGCATGATCCATACAGAACTGCTTTAGTAACCTAAAGTTGTTCTTGTGACTATAGTGTCTCTTTAACCCCTTAAGGACGGCGGACCTGGCTCTAAATGCCGGCAGACGGCAGTAACACTCTGTATCCAAAGATTTGATGCTTAAATAAAAAGCATTATTTGAAATACATTTTGAGTCATTTAACCCCTTAAGAACAGAGCTTCAAAAGCTTGTCTTTCACTTAATGACAACAGCATTTTTTTTCATTTTTTGCTGTTTGCGTTCAACTGCAATTTGCATTTTACTAATTTGTTGCACCAACACATATTATACATTGTTTTTTAAAGGACAGAAAGGGTTTTAAATTTGATGTAACACACATATATATAAATGCTTATTTATTATAAAAAAATACAGAAAAATGTAAAGAAAATGGAAATTTTGTGGTTTTTTTGTACAGTTTTTGCAATAATAATGTGTGCATAATTAGTGCAGGTTAAGAAAAGTAATTAAAAATAAATTAATTTAGTTGTTCTGATTTACAGAATATATAATGTGTCTGGGATTTTAAGTTTTTTTTGGTAGTTACAGGTCACAAAGCACAAGGAGTAAAATAGACTTTTAATGTGGAGCGATTTTAGAATTTGGTATGTTTGTCTTGTAAGCTTAATAGCCATAAAAGAAAACAAAATTGCCACACAAAAGTATATATTTATATAAAGTAGACATCACGGGCTATTTACCTAAGGTTGTTTTGACACTTTCTACGTAGCCATTTCACCGCCAACCTCTGCTAAATATTGGAGTAAAATTGTGTTTTTTTTGGTTTTTGGCACACAAACTTATAACAAAGAAATTCTCATGTATATTTTGTAAAGTTGGTGTGTGCTATTCCTGTACAAAGTTTTATTTTGTGTTCAGTTACATCTGCTGAGTAAAATGACACCCCCATTGTATGTCTTTTGCACTATTTCGTGAAGTTACAGTGCCATACAGGATACCTGTCCTTTTCAGTATTCACAGTAGAATTTTGAGAGATGGATTTAATGAGCCTTAGCTTCCATTTGGGGTATTATAACAGTTTGACTGTTCAAAAAACCCCCACAAAGGCCTACCATTTGTAAAAGTAGACACTCCAGGGTATCTCATAAGGTGCATATTGTGCCTTAACATGCTCCCATTTTTTCACCAATATATGCCAAAGTATGTGATAAAAAATAATTTTGTGCATTTTTTACATACGGATTGCATTTTTGCTGGGCGTTTTGTAAAATTGGTGTGTGCTATTCCTGTACAAAGTTTTATTTTGTGTTCAGTTACATCTGCTGAGTAAAATTACACCCCCATTGTATGTCTTTGGCACTATTTCGTGAACTTACAGTGCCATACAGGATACCTGTACTTTTCAGTATTTTAAACTTTTGTTTTGCTTATTAATTTTTTTAAACTTTCCTAAACTTTCTTAAAACTTTTTTACAGATTTAACATTTTTCTAAACCTTTTTTTTTTTTTTTTTACCGTTAACCCCTAACTAGCAGTAAGCAGCACTAACAGTAAATTCCCCATTTTCCCATAACTCCCACCCACCCCAGCTAGCAAAATATATAGTTATAAAATATTTAAATTAATTAATTAAATAAATTGAACCCCTGAGGGTTAAAAAATAAATAAAAGTTAATCCTCAGGGGTTAAAAAAAATTAGATCACAGTATAATACTGTGATCTGTATTTGATCGCTGTAGGCAGTGATCGACTGGCAGGGAAGGGGTTAATTTTTATTTGGACTAGGTAAAGGGGGGTTTTTTTATTTTTTACTTAAACGTTATTAAAACTTTTTTAAGCTTAATTTTTAACTTTTTAAAGTTTATTTTAAAACTTTTTTTAACGTTAACCCCTAGTTAGCCTAACGCCAAATCCCCCAATTCCCCACTAACTTCCACCCACCCCAGCTAGCTAAATATATAATTTTAAAATATTTTAATTAATTAAATAAATTTAACCCTCAGGGGTTAAAAAAAAAAAAAAAATCAGATCATAGTAAAATGTAATCCCTGCCAATTGATCACTGTAGTCAGTGATCAATTGGCAGGGAAGGGGTTAATTTTTTATTACAATGGGTAAAGGGGGGGTGGTGGGACTTTAAATTAACTTTATTTTTTTACAGAAGGGGGCAGGATGAGCACTGTTCCGGCTCCCTGCACTTCACACAGAACCAGGAAGTGCAGGGAGCCGGAAGGTAAGTATACAGAGCACATGTGCTCGCTCTGACTTGCGGTCAGAGCTAGCACATATGCTGGGCAGCCTGACCGGGTGCTCCCGGCATGCCTCTAATGCAGAGGCATACCGGAGCACCATTAACCCCACGATCGCGGCGATCCGGGGTTAATTTTACCGCGTGACGGACGAGGTCCGTCACTCGTCACTAAGGGTCTCCCCTCTGTGACGGACCTCGCTGTCACCCGTCCTTAAGGGGTTAAATGCTCTCCATCAAGATATTGTATACGTATATATTATGTAATATTTTTTACATAATTAGGTCATTTTATTAATTGCAATTTGCGGGACCTGCCTGACAACCATGGCATGGAGACAATGAACTTTCCTCATAGAGATTCATTGATTCAATTCTTCTCTATGAGGAGATGCTGATTGGCCAGGGCTGTGTTTGAATTGTGCTGGTTTTGCCCCTGATCTGCCTCCTTGTCAGTCTCAGCTAATCCTATGGGGAAGCATTGTGATTGGATCAGGACACCACTTCTGATGATGCCAGAGGTCACAGGAAGTTCACAGTCAGAGGCAGCAGCTTCAGACTTGAAGACAAGTAAGATTTTACTATATTTAGGAAGGCAAAGGGGGCTAGATAGTGGTTTTAACATTATAGGGTCAGGAATAAATGTTTGTGGTCCTGACCCTATAGTTCTCCCTTAAGTTAAGGATTGCTCAAATAAACTGTGCAAGTGTATAAATATATACACCTACATGCATGCAGGTTGCCAAGCAGCTGGCACAAAATAAACATGAATCTGTATCTAGTGATCATGGTCCATAACATTTGAAGCTAAACATGAAATACAGCTTGCAATATACACTGCTGTCTTGTACACACACATATATATATATATGCCTTGGTCCTGGATTACATACAATAGATAAAGGCCTAGGTTAGCATGGTTCCCCAAAAAGGCAAAACTGGTTAATCCACAAAATAATGGTACTGCTACCCCCACTGTGGCTCCTACAGTGAATAATAGTAATCAAAACAAAGGAAAAGGGAGGGAAGCCCAACCAGAAGTATGTGCAACACATTTATTGAAAAAAAAGTATATAAACCCACAAATGTTTCGGGCATAGCCCTTTATCAATGCATCTTGCCCTTGCTATAGATACAGTTAAACACTCACCAATATATAGAATACAGTGAAAACAAAACACTACCAAACCCATCCCTCCAGCAGATGAAGTAGGAGGGGACAACCTTCAGCATCTGGCCGCCATCTACCGCATCTCTGCCAAGTGACGTTGGCGGCGTTACACTTTGTGACGCAATTTGCTAGGAAACAAAGTAACAAATGTTTAATGATTCACTGAACCTAGAGCTGCATGTAAAGAAGCCTGTTATGGCCAAATATAGAGAAAGCTCAATACAGAAAATCATAATGGCCATTCCCTCCCCCCCACCCCCCCCAAAAAAAAAACCTCTGTATCATGTAAAAAATGAAAATGCACCACCAAAAATAAATAAAATGTGAAGAAGAGCATTTATAATCAAGAGAAGGCAGCATAGCAGCCTAGTGCTGGGGAAGTACATTTCCCACAGTACCAATAAAGTGAAAAATGACAAAATAAAGAGAAAATAAAGTCTATAGACAAGGTGTAATAATAATAGAGTAATGTCAAGAAATGCAAAAAATTGTCAAAAATGATGGACACACCCAAACAAAATTGAACTATTCACCTCCCACACCAGAATTAAAAGGCATATACACATGCAATTATCAGCAATTGTGAGTTAGCCAATCAGGTTGCTAAATGGGTTGTTGGAAAAATGAACCATATTCCAGTAAGACATACTATTCACAAGGTTCAATAATATTCCCTAAGGAATGAATTACAGATCTTTAATGTAAAAGACAATACCGGGAATATATAAGATATATATATTTATATATCTCTATATATATATATGGTAATCGGGTAAGAAAACAGAATCCAGGCTGCTATGGTGCCTTCTCTTGATTATATATGCTGTTATTAGTTACATTTATTTATTTTTGATGCCTCGATTTTGTTCTTTACATATTACGTTGTTTTTTTTCTTGCCTTTATGATTTTCTTTATTGAGCTTTCTCTATATTTGGCCATAACAGGCTTCCCTACATGCAGCTGTAGGTTCAGTAAGTTTATTACTTTGTTTCCTAGCAACTAGCCGCTGCCAACGCCATGACGCATCACTTGACAATGGGTTATGTGGCAGAGACACAGAAGATGGCGGACAGATGCTGAAGGGAGTGCCCTCCTACCTGATATAACGGGGGTGGATTTGGGAGTGTTTTGTCTTCACTGTATTATATACATTATTGAATGTTTAACTGTATAGTACGGGCATGATGTTTTGATGAAATGCTATACCATAAACACTTGTTATACTTGTTCTTCAATAAATGTGGTAGCACTTGTTGCACGTATTTCTAGTTGTGCTTTCCTCCTTTTTCCTTTTTGTTGGTGCTAGATTAGATTAGTATGGTCTTCAAAAGGCTATTCCTCAAGATTAGGTATTAAAGTAGATCCAGGACATACCTGAAAATGAGAGAAATCTCAATGTATCCTTCCTAGTAAAACATTTATAAATAGAAACATAGAAACATAGAATGTGACGGCAGATAAGAACCATTCGGCCCATCTAGCCTGCCCAATTTTCTAAATACTTTCATTAGTCCCTGGCCTTATCTTATAGTTAGGATAGCCTTATGCCTATCCCATGCATGTTTAAACTCCTTTACTGTGTTAACCTCTACCACTTCAGCTGGAAGGCTATTCCATGCATCCTCTACCCTCTCAGTAAAGTAATACTTCCTGATATTATTTTTGAACCTTTGTCCCTCTAATTTAAGACTATGTCCTCTTGTTGTGGTAGTTTTTCTTCTTTTAAATATAGTCTCCTCCTTAACTGTGTTGATTCCCTTTATATATGTAAATGTTTCTATCATATCCCCCCTGTCTCGTCTTTCCTCCAAGCTATACATGTTAAGATCCTTTAACCTTTCCTGGTAAGTTTTATCCCGCAATCCATGAACCAGTTTAGTAGCCCTTCTCTGAACCCTCTCTAAGGTATCAATATCCTTCTGAAGATACGGTCTCCATACTGTGTACAATACTCCAAGTGAGGTCTCACCAGTGTTCTGTACAATGGCATGAGCACTTCCCTCTTTCTACTGCTAATACCTCTCCCTATACAACCAAGCATTCTGCTAGCATTTCCTGCTGCTCTATTACATTGTCTGCCTACCTTTAAGTCATCAGAAATAATAACCCCTAAATCCCTTTCTTCATTTGTTGATGTTAGAACTCTATCAAATATCCTGTACTCTGCCCTTGGGTTTTTACGTCCAAGATGCATTATCTTGCACTTATCCACATTAAATGTCAGTTGCCACAATTCTGACCATTTTTCTAGTTTACCTAAATCATTTGTCATTTGGCTTATCCCTCCTGGAACATCAACCCTGTTACATATCTTAGCATCATCAGCAAAAAGACATACCTTACCATCAAGACCTTCTGCAATATCACTAATAAAAATATTAAAGAGAATGGGTCCAAGTACAGATCCCTGAGGTACCCCACTGTTGACAAGTCCAAGCTTCAATATATTCCATTAACTACAACCCTCTGTTGCCTGTCACTCAGCCACTGCCTTACCCATTCAACAATATTGGAATCCAAACTTAAAGATTGCAGTTTATTGATAAGCCTTCTATGTGCAACAGTGTCAAAAGCCTTACTGAAATCTAGGCAAGCAATGTCTACTGCACCACCCTGATCTATAATTTTAGTTACCCAATCAAAAAAATCAATAAGATTAGTTTGGCATGATCTCCCTGAAGTAAACCCATGTTGTCTCTGATCTTGAAATCCATGTGTTTTTAGATGTTCAACAATCCTATCCTTAACATGGTTTCCATCACTTTCCCCACTACTGAAGTAAGGCTTACTGGCCTATAGTTGCCCGACTCCTCCCTATTACCTTTCTTGTAAATGGGCACAACATTCGCTAATTTCCAATCTTCTGGGACTACTGTTAACAATGATTGGTTAAATAAATCTGTTAATGGTTTTGCTAGTACACCACTAAGCTCTTTTAATAGCTTTGGGTGTATTCCATCAGGTCCCATTGACTTATTTGTCTTTACTTTTGACAGTTGAAATAGAACTTCTTCCTCTGTAAACTCATGTGTAATAAATGACTCATTTATCCTTTTTCTCAACTGAGGTCCCTTTTCTTCATTTTCTTCTGTAAATACAGAACAAAAATATTCATTGAGGCAGTCAGCCTGACCTTTATCCTCTTCTACATACCTTTCTTCTTTTGTTTTTAATCTAACTAATCCTTGTTTTACTTTTCTTTTCTCATTTATGTATCTAAAAAATGTTTTATCCCCCTTTTTTTACTGACTGTGCTATTTTCTCTTCTGTGTGAGATTTGGAAGCTCTTATAACTTGCTTAGCCTCTTTCTGCCTAATCTTATAGATCATTTTGTCTCCCTCACTCTGGGTTTTTTTATAATTCCTAAATGCTAACTTTTTGTTTTTAACTATTTTGGCCACATCTGCGGAGTACCACAGTGGTTTCTTGAATTTTTTGCTTTTACTGACAAGTCTAATGCAATTTTCTGTTGCCTTCAATAGTGCAACTTTTAAATAATCTCATTTTTCTTGGACTCCATTTAAATTGCTCCAGTCTGATAATGACTCCTCTACCCATATTCTAATTTTAGAAAAGTCTGTTTTTCTAAAGTCTAAAACTTTTGTTTTTGTGTGGTGTGACTCAGTCACTGTTCTTATATTAAACCACACTGACTGATAAATCGTAACAATGTAAATTGCTGTTAAAAAGTGTCAGTAAGGGCAGATACCAACCCAATATCATTCACAATGTTTGACATGCAGGATATAGGTTGGAAGTAGCAGAGAGAATAACTGCACAATTTCTATAAAAAACAATAAAAGAAAACAGACCTTCAGAAAATAAGCATGAACTAAAATTCAGGAAAGAGGTCAAAACAAAAGCAGTAAGCGCTTTCCTTTACGTGCCTCAGCAGAGAGCATGAAAAGTGTCAGACCTGATTGCATCAATTAAAAAAAACAAAACAAAAACCAAACAACTAAATTTATAAGACACCATAGGACATTTCCCAGTATAGCACCTGCCCTGGGGCTGCTTTGTGTTGTGGCCCTCCTGCGGGCTGTGGCCAATCGTGTACTCCTGCGACCCACTGGCGGTTCTTCCACGCCAGCCGCTGGAAATGCGCATACAGTGTATGGAGTTATATCAGGATGCTGCGCAGCGGAACTACAGTATTAAATTGGGAGGGGGGGCCGTGTATTAAATTGGGGGCAGGGAGCAGTATATTAGAGAGTGATGGAAGGGGCCACGGGATGCTGTGTATTAGATTGTGGGGGGGGGGGGCATATTTAGTAACTTGAAGTAAAGCTTCTTAGTAAATTTTGTATCTGTACCCAGTATTACATAGTTTGCATGAGAATGATACAAGTTATTTTAGTTTGTGTTGGTTGAACTTTTTTTTTTTTTGTGGCCCACATAAACTTAAAGGACCACTATAGTGCCAGGAAAACATACTCGTTTTCCTGGCACTATAGTGCCCTGAGGGTGCCCCCAACCTCAGGGAGCCCCTCCCGCCTGGCTCTGGAAGGGGGAAAGGGGGAAAAACTTACCATTTTCCAGCGCTGGGCGGGGACCTCTCTGCCTCCGATCCTCCTCCTCTCCTCCCCGTTGGCTGAATGCGCACGCGCGGCAAGTTCTCAATGCTTTCCTATGGACGCTGGCGTGCTCTCACTGTGAAAATCACAGTGAGAAGCACGCAAGCGCCTCTAGCGGCTGTCAATGAGACAGCCACTAGAGGCTTTGGGGGAAGGCTTAACCCATTCATAAACATAGCAGTTTCTCTGAAACTGCTATGTTTATAAAAGAATAGGTTAACCCTAGCTGGACCCGGCACCCAGACCACTTCATTAATTGAAGTGGTCTGGGTGCCTAGAGTGGTCCTTTAAACCTTGTTTATTTGGCCCATGTTAGTCTTTGAGTTTTATTTTTTTTAAGCGATTTTGTACTATTTATTTGCTATTGTGTTTAGCACAGTTTGAATATTTGCACAATATATTGCACAGTTAGATACACATATATATTTACACATTTTGTGTATGATTTTGAATGCACTTCTAATTTGGCATGGTGTTGCACCTATACTTAAGAGCACAGCACGCTTTTTTGGTATATGGAGCTTAAATGGACACTGTAGGCACCCAAACCACTTCAGCTCATTAAAGTGGTCTGGTTGCAAACTCCCATCACCCTTACCCTTAACCCTAGAGTGGTAATTATTGCAGTTTTTATAAACTGCAATAATTACCTGCTAGGGTTAACTCCTCCTCTAGTTGCTAACAGACAGCCACTGGATGGATTTCTGGATGCTTAGACTACTTGTGGTCACCTAAACGATGCTGGAGGGCTTCACGCTATACATGAGGACATCCAGCCTCACCGGAATCCCCATAGGAAAGCATTGATAAAGTAATTCTTAAGATTATTTTATATAATATACGCGTACACATTATCCTCGCTGTTACACTGTCCTGGGGATAGCAAGACATATAGGGTAAATTGACTTTACAAAGGTTAGTGAGGATGGCATCTGCACAAGGCTAGCGCATTCTACCCAAAAATAGACAAGGAAAAAGTGATAAGAAAAAAAGAGCTGGGAGCCAACACTGACCAAAATTAGTAATAAAACAATGGGGTAACCGAAAAAGAATGAATCCGTACATATAACGATTTATCTTTAGAAACGAACAACTGTATAGTCAAGTGCCCTATCAAGGGCAACATAATACAAAAACTCCAGGAGGTTTACTCTTGATTTTTGCCACAGACAATAGCGTTAATGTCTCAGATTTCTTGTAAATGGTAGTATGATATAAAAGTGATTTGGCAGGGATAAAGTCAGGGTTATCTTTAAATTCTCAGATAACCTATTTTAACCTCCTTCCTTAACCCCTTAATGACACAACTTCTGGAATAAAAGGGAATCATGACAGAATATTTCCGTCATGTGTCCTTAAGGGGTTAATTTTTCACAAAGGTACAAAGCACATTCTACTTGTCACACACAGACTTTAAACATTAGTACAACAGGAATTTTCTATTAAGAAGTACAATCAATTTAAAGATCTCAAATTAATGTGCAGCAAGGTTTTAAAAATATGTGCTCCATAGAAGCATCAGATCACCATTTCACCATATATGGAGTAAATGTACCATAATGTCCCATAGGATGATTTAAGCATCCTGATGGCAAAGGATGCTTTAAATGCTTAAAGCCATCTTTCTAAACAGTACTTTTCGAAAACACACCAAGAGAAGGAATTTGATCCATACCTTTGCCCCTTGTAATACTAGTGAGCTAAGGTAACATTGTGGTTCCCACCAAAGACTATTTGACCTTATTTTAAATGGTTTTCCATAGTCTTTTACAGTGGGGAATAAACTAGAACACGCATTGTGGAGAAGACCGTATTGGCATGTTTGGTTGAGGATCATGAAGTGATGGCCAATTAAGAAGACTGTTGGTTAATAAGAAGGTGCAAAAAGCATACCTTCAATCCACCAGAACGAAAGCACTATCCATGTTCAGGATAGTGCAACTGAACAAGATTTCTCGATCAAGTGAATAAAGTTAATAAGTCTGTTACTCAGTTCTACACCCACCAAGGGGGAAAGTGTGACAGAAGCTCCCATGTCAGGGTCTTTTGGAGAGACTTGAAGACCAGCCTCCTACCCACAGACTATGGACCCTGTGAAGAAATACCTCTTTGTGTTCGGTATTTCTCCCCTTTTTCATTCGGTAGATGTAACTGCCGAACAGAGACCACCCCCCTGGCTCGTTAACTTTAAAAGCATGCTGCAATTAAACCCTCTACCTGTGCGGCCATCTTGTTTGTGTGAACAAAGGCAGCGGGACTTGGTCGTCGAGTGTCTGGAACTAAAAATCGGACACTCGACTTTCCGAACACCAGTCCCAACATACAAACGCTGTATCTTCGTTTCCCGAACAGCTAGGAGAGCGCTATTTGGTACTTTTGTTCATTCGTATGAGGGGAACAATCACTGCTAAGAGCCAATGGGAACCGTTCGTGGGATTATTCATTTATTTCCACTTCACAAAATAGACCGTCAAAACCACCCAAACTCATGGAACTGTTTTGGGCAGCAGCCTCGTGGGTAGCCGGTCACCTAAGACCTCCATGGAATTTGAGAACCCCTGAACTGATCTGGGTGATTTTTGGATATGTTGGTCACCCAGATCAGGGCTATCGGGGGATATGACTTTTAAAGGGATACGCCATGTTTTAGGGGTGTTCTGAAAGTTGGGGGAAAATTTACTTTTTCTGCTTGGAGATAATGAAGTTATTAGGTTATCTGCCTTAATTATCTTCAGGTTCACGGGAGGGAATTATATGTTTGCAATGGGAGTGTATAACTATTTCTCTTGTTATGATTGGCTGTACCATGTCCATCCCTGTGGGAGTTCCCCTTGCACGGGGCTTGCATAAAAGCCAGGGTGGCATAATAAAGTTCATTTGCATAATGCTGGTAACCAAAAACGTGGTTAACTACTTATATTGTTGCTTTTTATTTTGTTGTAAAATGGTATTTGTATTATGTAGTTCATGTATTAATTATAATTGCTCGTTCTCCAATGTTTTATATATATGTTGATTTTTATTTTTTTTTTGTCAAAAGAGACCATGGCCTAAGGAACGCAAGTGTAAAGACAGGAGCAATCACTATAAGCAGAGCTGTTGATCCCTGCTTAGGAGAGGAACTGAAGAGGCAGAGGGGATGATACCTGCCTTGAAGGAAAGAGCTCCAGAGAGATCCTAGTCAAACTTTGGCGACTAGGGTTGAAGTGCTCCAGGGTCCCAGCAAGTGGCTAGGAAGCGGACTGGGCAGAGGTACTCGGTTGGAGTAAAGGTGCTTCGTCACAGGGAGTAAATCAGAGTTTAAATCAGAGGGTCGTTGTGAAGTACATTACCAATATTTAGGACAACCACGGAATAAGGCTATCAGGTAGGGTGAGGGCAAACTAATCTTGCAAATCTAAAGAAATATCAAAAGCAGGGTCATAGGTGTTAATTGCAACAGGACAATCACAAATGTGCACATCTGATTTCAAAGGTTTCACAATATTGGTGTATTGCTTGGACCCAAGTTGTCATAATGATGGGTGATTCCATACCTCATTCAAAAGGGGTCACAGAGGACTGGAAATAAGTCTTTGACAAAAAAAACAAAACATATCTTGTCTGATGGCCTTGTGACTTATGAGGAGAGAGGAGCCCAGTTACACATTCCTTCAGTTGTAGAGTAGCCAGACATGGGCAACACCATTATTCAGTGAGAATTTAGAGAAGGGATATGAGCTGCATTTTGGTGACAAGATACAAAGGAGAAACAATTGTTGCTGCATCTCTCATGCAGGTGGAGCTTGTCAGCATTTCGATTCTGAAGTGACCTTATAGGTGGAATCTGTCTGATTTGCAAATGGTAAAGGTCAGGCTTTGTCAAACTCTGGCCCTCCAGATGTTGCTGAACTACAACTCCAATGATTCTATAAATGAAAGAGATAGGCAGAGAATCATGGGAGTTGCAGTTCAGCAACATCTGGAGGGCTGGAGTTTGGGGAAGCCTGGTATATGTTTTCTCTGTTATGCAGAGTTTACAGCAAAATGCCTGCAAGGACATACTATACTCACTGAAACAACTAAATTAAGCTGTAGTGGTTCAGGTGACTCTAGTGTCCCTTTAAGTCCCGCTTCTAAACTGGGAAATGATTAACAGGGAGGCTTTTATAGTAGTGATTCGGAAGGTGGAAAAACAAAACGCTCATTCTAAGCATGAAAAAGGATAGAGAGAAAAAGAACAAAGGAAAACAATTATTAAGATGAAGCATTAAAGTATACAAATGATCTTGGAACATATGAGAGGTGAGGTGATAAAGGTTAAGATTTAGCAATGTCATTATGGGTATGAAGCAGAGATGAAGGTGAGATATTTGATGAGTACATAAGAAGTAAAACAAAAACAATACAACAATAAATAATATGCAACACACAAGATCTGGTAACTTAACACTAACCCAAAAAGGTACAGGCACATTTAACAGGGAAGTCCAGCAGGGCTTAGAGAAGTTTTAAAGTAAAGAAGAGTCAATTTTATCACTAGAGTAAACGGACAACTTGACTTGCTGCTTGAAATCCTCAAGGCACAAAGAATCCTATGAAATATGCCACAGTTAAGATAAAAAGGGGTCATTATGAAAGATCCAAGGTAAATATGTGTAACATGTCCCAATATAAGATATGACTGACACGCAGAAATGCTTGGGTAGCCATCAGGCTCAACAAGCGCTGCCAGTTTTTTCCAGGGAGTGTTGCAGATGCCATTCTGTGTTGTTGGTAAAGGGGAAAAAAGCCCTCGACAAGTAACATGGTAGGTTTGTGCTGTAATTCCAGTTTCTAAAATAATATCCACACTCAGCTGGGTTTTGCAAGTAATTTCAGCACCATTAAACAGAAAAGGTCCCCTACCAGTGCCCCGATTACATAGAGTAGAAGGTCAGTGATGGGCAGACAGTATATACTTAGGAGGCCTAACTGATCCAATTCAGTGTAGGTCATGACAGAAATAAGCCCTTCGTAAAGATTTGAAGGTTTGATCTGGAACTCTAATGTTGCTGTCCCCTGTTTTTCACAGATGCTGTAAGTTGGTGAAAGCAGCATCGAACATTTGATAGGACCCATCAGAAGGTGCCAAGGCACAGAGTTTGCCGTGATTAGACCGATTACTAGATAAAAAGCATTAACAAATAATTATTATATTCTAACAAGATTTTTGCTTTGGATAGCCACCCCTCTTCAATATTACGGTTATAAAATAGATCAGCCTGTTGTCTGGTATGTACAAGCAATAGCTCGATTGACATAAAAGGGACTTGGCAATTACTGTTCCACTCTTCAGTGGGCTTGGAGACCTTCTAGCCCAGGTCTTGACAAAATAGCATAGAACCTAGGAGGAGCCAAAATTAGGAGCCATACAACATTTTCATTTTTCAGGCATTTATTTTTTAAATGAAATTAACTAAAAATTAAAAATAAGTGTTACTACAGAATATTTTCAAGTGGCATTACATTTAGGGTTAGAATTCAGTTTAGACCTAAACCTAAAATATACTTATTTTTCCACTGCTATGTCCTTACACTCCTCCCCATTCCACTTTTCAACATACCAACCCTTTTCCATTACTTCTCTTCTTCTTCTTAACCTTTTCCATTGCGCATTCCCTCACATCTCTTTTTTGTTTCTCTCCCATTCTTTTCCATCACCTTCCACCCTTTTTCATCTGCTTCTCCCAATTTTCCATTGCTTTATCTCTCCTCCACAAACCTCCCCCACTTTTATATTTCATTCTCCCATTCCATTGATCCTCTTCTACCCATTTTCCTCCTATTTCCATTGTTCTCTTTTTCCACGTCTCCCTAACCTCTCCCCATTCCATAACTTTACCTACTTCACTCAATTACAGCCACCCTCCCATTACCCTAACTTTATATTTTGCTGTATGAGGATGGCTGATTCTTGGCATCTGAGTGGGATACCTCTACCTGCTTTAGGGGCCAAATAAAGCTTCTGTTTCCTTTCCACAAACCAATATTCAACCAGAGTAATTGGAGGGTGTGCATCTATCAGCTATTTTAAATCATGTATTTATGCTCCCATTGCCTGCTAATCTTGCCAGGACTAGGAAAATTAAATATAGTGGTAGAAAAACAGCAACACAATATAAAAATGTTATATACTGTATGTCTAACTTCTCCCTAACATTTTTTTATGTTCCTCTTCCATTCACTTGCACAGACTGCTCCCACATCTCTCCCTTTGTGTTTTCACCCATTCCCCAGTTTCCATTATGCTCTCCCTCTGGTCCACTTTATTTTATTTTCCATCACCTTCCACCATTTTCCATTTTGTTCTCCCAGTTTTCTCTTGCTCCACATCTTCCTTTTTAAGAGGCATTGCATTTAGAGTTAGCAAAACATACAGGATTATGGTTTGCATTACATTTAAGGTTAGAATTCAATTTAGACCTAAACCTAAAATATACTTTTTCCACTGCTCTGTCCTTACACTCCTCCCCATTCCACTTTTCAACATACCAACCCTTTTCCATTACTTCTCTTCTCCTTAACCTTTTCCATTGCGCTCTCCCTCACATCTCTTTTGTTTCCCTCCCATTCTATTGCTCCCTACCATTTTTTATTTCTTCCTGCATTATTTTCATTAGTCTCCCAATGCTTTGCATCATCTTCTCCTCCCCATTTCTCTCCCACTGTATTTTCACCCATCACCCCTATTTCTATTGTGCTTTCCCTCTACTCTCTTTTTCCATCACCATTTCTCTCCCACTGTATTTTCACCCATCACCCCCATTTCCATTGTGCTCTCCTTCTACTCTCATTTTCCATCACCTTCCATCCCCATTTCTCTCCCACTGTATTTTTACCCACAATTTCTATTTCTCTCCCCTGTATTTTTACCCACAATTTCTATTGTGCTCTTCTTCAACTCTCTTTTCCATTTGCTTCTTCCAGTTTTCCATTGCTATACCTCTCCTCCACAACCCTCCCCTGCTTTTACATTGCATTCCCTTATGCCATTGATCCTCTTCTACCTTTCTGTTTTGCTGTATGAGGATGGCTGCTTCATTGCATCTGAGTGGGATACCTCTACCTGCTTTAGGGGGCCGAATAAAGCTTCTGTTTCCTTTCCAAAACCAATATTCAACCAGAGTAATTGGAGGGTGTGCATCTATCAGCTATTTTTAATCTATCAGCTAATTTTTATGCTCCCACTGCCTGCTAATCTTGCCAGGACTAGGGAAGGTAAATATAGTGGTAGTAAGACATCAACACAATATAAAAATGATATATATGTACTTCTCCCTAACATCTTTCTTCTCCCCATTCTACTGCTCCCTCCATTCTTTGTGTTCCTCTCCAATTCACTTGCACAGTCTGCTCCCATTTCTCTCCCTTTTTATTTTTACCCATTCCCCAATTTTCATTATGCTCTCCCTCTGCTGCACTTCATTTTGTTTTCCATCACCTTCCACCATTTTCCATTGGGTTCTCCCAGTTTTCTATTGCTACATATCTCCTTCCTCATTTTTCCATGGCACTCCCCCAAGCCAGTGCTCCTTTCACCCCTTTTGCACTGTGCAAGCCACTCCTGTTCTGTTCTCCTTCTCCATCCATTCCCATCCTTATTTGAATGAATGGATCGTGCATCCTCATGAGCTATTTTTACCATGAATTTATGCTCCTGTTGCCTGCTAATCTTGCCAGGACTAAAGAAGTCAAAAACAGTGGTAAAAAAAAACAAACATTGTCAAATAGATGGTAACCAGAAACATTAATACAAGATTGAGATATGTTAACATAACACAATAAGAAACTTAAATAAAGAAAAATTCCTAACCGATCGCAAAATGTCCGTTCGTTATATTCATGATATGTACGACCTTGTTTTTCATCCTCTCGTAGGTGCTCCTCCATCCAATGGTACTTTTTCTGTGAACATTCATCTGCAAACAAGAGTGGGTATTGCACAAAATGGAAACAAGATCTACATTCACAATTTAATATATAAACATATCAAATTGATATATACTATTTACCTCCAATCCACATATATCTTCTCTGTTAACCAATCCTTACTTAAAGTGGCTCTGTCACTTTGTAGCTTTTTGTTTTACCTTTAAATTCACATGCATATTGGTTGTTAAAGGGATACTCCAAGCATCCAAGTAATGTTGCCCCTGGTTAGTTTTCGGCCATTTGGGAGTTAAATCATTTGGTTTATTTAACCCTGCCCACGCCTCCCCTGACCATGACTCACACAGTCTCCATGAGAAGTTATCTCCTACTTGGTCAATCGAACTTTCATCATACCGGGGGCTCCTGTAGACTCTAGTAGACAATTACCAGAGCATGAGATAAGAAACAGACTTGTGCACAAATGTGCTTTAAGTGGGTTGAATTATTCAAATTCCTTTTAATTTATGCACAAAGGAATTGATATATCTGGATTTTACCTGTGGAGTCTTATTCAATGAAAAATCCACCACATGTAAATCAGGACAAAATAGATTCATTCAGGTGTAGATTTTAAAAAAAAAACAAAAAAAAAAAACCCACAACATTCAGTAGAGCGCTATATTCCTTAATAAGAATGATTAAACTAAACTTAATCAATTGACCAACCTGAAGGATTTTACACAAGTGTTTCAGCCCCTGAGCCACAGGGTACATGCTTACCCTGATGATTTGCTTTGGCAGTCCCCTCCGGGCCATGCGATCGTGATGTCATCACAATCACATGCCCGCAATTTTTATATATCCTTCCTTCAGCCGGTGAGGAACCACTTAAACTGCAACAAGACTCATTACCCCCCAGTAACTGGACAAGACCTAGTTCTGGAGGTACAACATAATTTTATTGGTCACACGCTGCTTTTATGCATACCCCGTGCAAGGGGTGGATCACACACACACATACAAGGACACATCCCACAATCCACCCCCTCCCCGAGGTCCCAACGGTAAACTGAGTTCCCCAATCTAAAACGATCTCCCAGGGAAAACCCATCCGGGAGAACACTTGCATTAGGGCTTCGGCCACAATCTCTGCCTGAATATTACTCAGGCAACCGCCTCAGGGTAATGAGTCGCATAGTCCACGATGGTCAGAATATACTTCTTCTATACTCTTTATGCCCATACCCCGCCACTAAATATCCAGGGTTCCCCACACCAACCGCCAGTGGTCTTCTTTCCAAGTGCCTCTGTGCCTGTGAGTCTAGGCACAGCAAAAAGGGACCGTCCCTTTGTCTCCAGGCACAGAAAAGCCTGCCTGCAGGAAACAAGCTGGTCTCTTTGTCCCTCGGGCTCATGAGAGCCCACCAAAACTTGCCAGTGCCCCAGAAGGGCCCACACCAATCTCAGGGAGCCTCGCCTCGGTCTGCTAGTCTCTTTTCGCGAAGTCCTGGTGTGAAACCCAGATAAGAGAAGCGTCTCCTTTCGGGTTGCAAATGCTCCCCATGGATGGAGTTCGTATATACGAAACGGCGGCCACCCAGGGTAGCACTCATTAATTACTTCCCTTGCGGTTTCACACTTGGGTTGCAAGTGAGAACATTCTGATAGGGCACTAGGGAGGTCCTCGTTCGGGTGATAGGAGGAGCTCAGGATCGGTTTAATGCCACATAACCTCCACAGTTGATTAGTCATCATGGCAGTAAACAGTGTCCAGATTTAAAACGATCTCTCGGGGAAAGCCCATTCGGGAGAACACACGCATCAGGGCTTCGGGCACAGTCTCTGCCTGAATATTACTCAGGGCGACTGCCTCAGAGTAATGAGTCGCATAGACCACAATGGTCAGACTATGCTTCTACTCAGAGGGACTAGGCTTAGCCAGGTAGCCTATATCGACAACTCTGCCGAAGGGGTCTTCAATGATGGGCAGGGGCTTGGCCTTGTGCCGGTCGTCCCGCTTCCTCACACTCTGACAGACATCGCAGGACTGACCGTACCGCTGCACGTCCCTGGAGATGCCTGGCCAGAAGAAGGTTTGGGTGAGTCGATTCTACGTACGACCTTTTCACAAATGCCCTGCCAGAGGAATATCGTTAGCTATCTTCAATAGCTCCGGCCTATATTTCCTGGGTACAACCAGCTGTTTGGTAGTAGTCAAAATGGTCCATGAACCTCTTTTCTCTACCATGCGGTACAATAATCCCCTTTTTCCAGGTGATCATCACTGGTGCGGTAAGCAGACCTAGGTCGTTGTCCAGCAGCACATTGGTGGGAAGGTTGTTCATGAGCCCGACCTCCACTATCTGGTTCCCGGCGCCCCAATCGAGATGGACCCGAGCTGTGGGCAGGCGGTGGGCAAGCATGGTTCCTCCGGGCTTGTCCTTCTCTGCGACAAGCTGGTGCTGCACAAGGGTCAGCATGGTCCTAGAGTCTCGCAGACCCTGGGATGGGTGTCCGTTCAGCTGGACCGGTTGCCGGTGATGGTCCATGACGGTTATCTGTGGCCACTTGTATATGGAGAGCCAGGCTTCCTCGTTGGGGTTAGGGGTGTAGGTGGGGGCTGCCTGATAACAGTGGATAGCGGCTCATGGTGTAGGAGGCAGCCCTGGACGGATCCACGAGGACCGGCCCCTTTAGCTGAGGGCGCTCCCTCTTGTAGTGGCCCCACTGGGAACATTGGTGGCACTGGATGGCTGCCCGGTTGGGTGTCCTCTGAGGTGGTGCGGGAGCCGGTGAACCTCTGGAATGGGAGCTGCAGGCGAGGTAAATTGGGGTGCCAGGCGTACAGGAGGACAGGAGGCTGGAGTGGCAGCCGGACGTTGGGGTCACCTGGTATCTGCGTACACATCTGCTCTTTGGGCTGCTTCGGTCAGGGTCTTAGGCAGTCGGTCCCTTACCCAGTCCTGTATCTCGGTGGGTAGCCTATGGTAGAAATGTTCCAACAGGAACAACTGGAGAACTTCCTCTGGGGTCTTAGCCTATTGGGACTGCATCCAGCTTTGGGCTTCCTTGCTCAGGCGGCAAGCCCGTTCAGCAAGAGTCCTGGGACCCCTTCTTCATTTCCCTGAACTTTCAGTGATATGCCTGTGAGGTGATGACATACCTCGTCAACAGGTCCCGCCTCACAGCGGCAGAGTTTTGCAGGTGCTCTTTGGGCACAGCCCGGTAAGCATCCACAGCTTTCCCCCGTGAGTTTCACGGCCAGAATGTGGACTCAGTCTGCTGGGACAATGTCATGTAGCAGGCAGAAGTGCTCAAAGTCCTGCAAAAAGTCATCTATCCCCTCTTCAGCCTCCGCAAATTTCTTGAACACTTGGTAGGGTAGTTTGGGCTTGGGTTTTGGGGCGGCCGGACCACCCAGGAAAGCTTTCCCAGTCCGCTGTGCGTGGATGGGAGCGGGGTTCGGCCAAACTCTCAGAGTCAGGACACACGTTTATACACTTGTGCCTCCTGGTCATGATTTCTGCGGAGGGCTTCTCCGTGTAGTTCTAACAGTACAGGATGGCTAGTTCTCCTACACAGCTACATTAACGGTGGTAGAAGATGTTACTATTTATTACTAGTTGACATTTTTATTCATAACACAGTTAACATATTAATGTGGCGGACCTGATCCTATTTGTTTACTTTTTCGACGAATTAACTATAATCACCCTGGCTCTGTACCTTCCCTTCTACCAAACGCTCCAACCTGGTAGTCATTCAGTCACAAATCAGCAAAATGGTCCTTAACAGCCCTTGGCCCCCAACCTCCTGGAACTATGGTGTCAATATTTTAACCTCCAGTCCTCTGTCACTTTTATCCCCTCTTTTACCACACTCCGCAACCTGCAGGAGAGAGCTATTTGGTGGGAAGGTACTACAGACTAATGTGACCAATCACTACCTGAGAGCCAGGTGGAGCCCCCATACAGGTGCAGGAGCTCCCGACAATTGACCGCAAGGACATTTCCCCTGGAACTATTTTCGGATTGAACTTTACTAGCGGACAGTCAGAACTTTACCCTGGTGGTGATTTGGCTACACACCTTGGATGAAGGCTATTTTACCATCTTGTTGAGGTTTCTGCTTATTTTTATTAGGGGTATTTTGTATGTAGCACCTTCTGATATAGAAGATACTAATTTTAACCGTTATCTGGCACCTGTATGTGAATAGAGACTCATGCTGGGTAATAAAATCAGATGTACTTCCAGAACTATGTGTCGTCTAGTTACGGGGGGAATAGAGCTATTCACCAACAGTGCTTGTTCCAGCTTCAAGAGGATTTGGTGCAAATACCTATGCCAGGTATTGCAGCTCCGCTACAATTAATAAATAACTTAGCAGGTCTGAGCTGACTGGATGCCATTCTTCAAAGCTCCTGATATCTGGCGATTAATCTACCATAATCAACCACAATCCGTGGTACAGTGCCACTCCCCTCTTCACCATCCGAATTCGTGCTTCAAACTGATATCTTTCTTGCTCTCACAATCGGGCAAGAGGGCTCACCGCAGGACCGGGACCTACCTCGAGTTTCTAACCTGAGAGGCGCCTCCGAAAGCAGAGTTGAACAGTTGCGCGGCCCAAATAGTATAATTCAGAATGATGTTCGTGTCCCGAACACGTTCTTAAAGAGGCAATGGGAGCCACAAGTTAGTTACGGCGACCCCATGCACACACATTCTGGGGGTCGCACTAATGACATAAACCAATCCAAAAAGTCACATGAAGGTATTTAAGCATGCCTAGTCCAATCTACTGTGCCCTATTGTAGTTTCTGATTCCTTTAACTTTTAGTACATTTCTTGATTCCTGGGGTATTTTCTGGTATTGACCTTGGCTTTGCTACTGACTGTGCGTTTATCTTAAACCCTTTCCTGTGTTTGCCTGTTTGACTGAATTCCATGTATTTGACTCTGGGCAGTTCTTGTTTACATTGTCTCTCGGTTACCCTGAACGAGGTCACCTTGACTACGCTTTTCCCTCTGTCCAACTTTAAGACCGGCCAGTCTAAAGCCCAGTAATAGGTTATTTCCTGGTTTCGTCCTTTGCTATCCTAAACTCTGCATGTTGGGGTTTTACCTTGTGATAGTCACCCATTGCTGCACAGGCCAATGCTTCCTCAGTAGTCCAAATAACAGAAGGGATGCTCTACTGTGGACTCTCATTTATCATTAAAAGGGATACTCCAGGCCCAAGACCACTTCTGCCCATTGGAGTGGTATGGGTGCCAACTCCCACTACCCTTAACCCTGCAAGTGTAATTATTGCAGTTTTTATAAACTGCAATATTTATATTGCAGGGTTAACTCCTCCTCTAGTGGCTGTCTACTGTCTACTAGACAGCCACTAGAGGGACTTCCGTGTTCATAGAACACGAAAAGTATTTTAAAACGATGCTGGATGTCCTCAAGCTATGTGAGGACCTCCAGCGTCGCCGAAATTCCCATAGGAAAGCATTGTATAATGCTTTCCTATGAGGAGATCTAATGCACATGTACTGCCTTTGCCACGCATGCGGTCTTCCCCGCCGGCTGACGTCTGCAGGGGAGGAGAGTAGGCGGAGCCTGACCCAGCACCAAGGGACATCGGCGCTGGACTCTGGTAAGTCACTGAAGGAGTTTTAACCCCTTAAGTAACTTGGGATGGGGGGGAGGGAGGGAGAGGGGCACTGGAGAATCCCCTTAAGCCGTTAAAAATGGTTTAAGGATGGCAACAGGGTACTCCAGACACTATAACTACTTTAATGAGATGAAGCAGTTATAATGTCTACATTGTCCCTTTAAATTCATTTTTCAGTATTTTCGGTCTTATATTTGATTGAGATTCCTGTTACTGTGAGGGCTTTTTATCCAACAGGTGAGATGTCTGGACAGTAGGATGCTGCAATTTTAATTACACATTTGAAGATGCCTAGCCAATGAAAAAGTAGAACCGAATTGTGATTACTGCAAACATTCAAAAAGGAATTAAAGGTAATTAAAAATTCTGTTATGGGTTCACATATATATTATCTCCAATGTATAATAAAAATGCAAAAGTGTGCCTTTACTTTCCGAGATATTTTCCCGCCAATGTGGAAGTGACAATTTTTCTGACGCAGGGAAACAGCTTTGACATGCTTCCATTTTATTAGGGGAAGAAACTAAATCCTTTAAAATGGTGAAAGTTAATTTTTTTCCTCTCCTAGTTAGATTTCTAATTTTTTATCTACTGAGAATGTAGTCAATAGTACAATCATCATAAAAATAAATAACTAAAAGCAAAAAAAAACAAACAAAAAAATGTATTCCTTAGGGACAATAACTAAAAGATAGGGGGCAACTCCCCCTACTGGTATATAAGCCATCCTGCCCATCATACCTCAGCTCATACCAAGAACTGCACAGAGACGCCAATACTGAAAAAAAAAATGAAATCTCAAAATAAGGGAGGAAGACTTATACTGCCCCGATATCAAGGAAAAAAGCTAATTTACTATAAGTAAAAATTACTGTTTTGCTTGGCATATGGTGGCAGTACAGGAGGGATATAGCAATATCCCAAATTTAAGGAAAGGCATCAGGAAACCACTGCATGAAGCACCATGCACCTGAAAGAGGCTTCAGAAGCCTAGAGTATACCTAGCCTATAGTGTTTATTAAAGGTATCACAGGATGACCAGGTGGCTGCCTTACAAATGTCTTCTGGCGAAGCCTGATATTTTTCAGCCCTAGAAGTGGCCATGGATCTGGTAGAGTGTGTGCTTTTAAAGTGGTAGGCAGATTATTGAAAGAATAGGCTTGCTTAATCATATCCACAGGCCATCTGGAAATCTTATTGTTTGAGACCTTATTAACTTTCAATTTACAAAAAAAAAAAAAAAACCCCATATAGGTGGTCTGATTTTCTGAAATCAGCAGATCGGAGGATGTACATCTGGAGAGATCTCCTGACATACAACACGTGCCAAGTCATGTGCGTCACACATGTGCCTCTCTCTTGAGGATGAGAAGCGTTGCTACAAAAAGATGGCAGTATAATCGGGTTGTTAATTGCTTTTGAAGTGATCACTTTTGGCAAAAAAGATGGTTTAGGATGTAGAATAACCTTTTCAGGGGAAAAAATTGTGACGTTTTCAGAAGCGTATAGGGCCTGAATCAACTCAACCAACCCTCTTTGCAGATGTGATTGCCACCAGAAACACAGTCTTAAAGAATAGCAGCTTCAAAGGAATCTCTTCTATCGGTTCCAAAGGAGGGTTCCAAAGTGCTCTAAGCACAATAGACAAGTCCCAAGTTGGAAAAAAGGACTTAGTAGTAGGTCTGATAAAAAATAAGTCTACGAATAAGAAGGTCTGTAGCCAGGGTTTTTTTTACCAAAATAGCAGATAGTTGGACCATTAGGCTAGAGACACTAAGCCCCGCAGAGAATCTTTCCTGAAGGAAACGGATGATGAAATCCGTTGAAGATGAAGGCCGTGATTACTATGGCACCAATGGAGGAACTTCAGCCAAATTCTCAAATAGATTTTAGACGTGGATCTTCTTGTGGAACCTAGCAAGATGTTAAACTTATTTTCAGCCAGATCTTTGTGGTGAAGTATCAGCTGTGCAGCAGCCAGGCCATCAACCTGCGCATTCGCAGAACTTCTTCTGGGATTTCTTTGTTCTCTATAAGTTGATCACATGAAAAAAAGACTGGAGTAACACAGTACTCCAAATAGGCAGTAAAACAACAAGGTACAGGTGCTGCTATCCCATCCCACTGTGACTCCTACAGTGATATTTGCAGACAAAATTTAGAAAAGAAGGAGGGAAGCGCAACCACAAGTGTGTGCGCGCAACAAGTGCTACAGCTTTAATTGAAGAACAAGCATCCGTACAAATGTTTCAGACAAAGCACTTTCTCAATGCATCTTGGTTTCCCTGGAGGCCATGAGATCCATCACTGGAATTCCAAATTTTTCCATAATTTCCTAAAAAAATTTGAGGAGAAAAATCAATATCCCTGTTTCAGGCGATTCCTGGTGAGAGCGTTTGCAAGCGTATTTCTTTCTCCCTTTATGTGGACTGCAGATACTGACAAAAGGTGTATTTCTGACCAACGTTATGTTGGAGCATAACTGTTCTAGAGCAATTGAGCGTCCCCCCTTTTCTGTAAACATAGGCTACCGCGGTTGAATTGTCTGACTTTTTGGTGTGAGATGACCCACCAGATGTCTTTTGAAGGAGAGAAGTTCCAACCATACGACTTTCAGTTCCCTGAAGTTTAAAGATTTCCTTGCATCTTGCAGATTCCAATAGCCTTTTGTCAGTTTTGTATCCATGTGAGCACCTCATCACATACTTGATGCGTCAGTTGTTACGTAAACAAAAAGACCTTCTGAAAGGAAATGCAATGTCATCCACCAACGGAAGCTCAGCAGATCAGAGGAGTTTAGATTCATGGACTGGTCTAGGGACAAAGTTTTCCTGTCCCAGGACGCGAGGATATTCTTCTGTAATGGTCTTATATGTGCCTTGGCCCAGTTTACAGCTGGAATTGTGGCAGTGAACAAACCCAGAAGTCTCATTGCTTCTCTTATAGTGCAAATCTTCTTCTTTTGCAAGTTGATAATGGTTACTTTCATTTTGTTTATCTTCTCCTCTGGAAGGACAATCCTAATTTGAATGGAGTCTAAAATGAGACCCAAAAAAAAAGGATAGAACGAGACGGGGTAAGGTCCGATTTGTCTTTGTTTATAATCCAACTATGTTTTTGTAGGTTGCTGGAAGCTCTTCTGACGCCATTCAGCATTTGCATCTCTGAAGAAGCTAAGAGTAACCAGTCGTCCAGGTAAGGTACGATGTTGAAACCTCTTTTTCGCAATTCTGCTTTGATGACCATAAGTATCTTGGAAAAGAGACTTTTGGAGCCAAATAAATGCCAAAAGGGCAAGTCCGTGAATTGGAAATGCCGTAGTTGATCCTGATATCTGATGGCAAATATTAAAAACCTTCTGCTGGCTGCTGCTGCTATGGGTATGTGTAGATAGGCATCTTGCAAATCGATGGAACATAGCCATGAACCTGGAGGAATTATGTGAGAGGCAGAGAAGAAGAGGTTTTCCATGTGACATTTTCTGAAGCACAAATCTGTTTACGTATTTTAAATCCAGAATAGGACATTTTGAATAAGAGCCCTTGAATTCTCCTCCTTCTGGAAGTATCTCGATCACATTTTTCTGCCACAAGACCAAAACTTCTTGGAGAACAACTGACGCAATATCTTCGGAATGCACGGTTGAACAAAGGAAACTGCTTGGAGGAATGTCGGAAAATTCTATTCTGTAACCTCTTTGAACCACTGAAAGGATCCAGCTGTCTGTAGTAGTCTTCTGCCATATTGAAATGAATAACAGAAGTCTGCCACATACTGGAATGGTGTCATCATCATCTTATTATTTTTCTATGGTAAATTCCTTTTGCCTTTATCTTGAAAAGAAAATAGCCTTCTTTGATGTTTCTTATATGAGAACCTACGAAAGGAGTCTCTGTAAAAACTTCTGGTTTTGTTGAAGAATGGCTTGTTCCAATTTTTTTTTAATCTTTTCTTCAGGTAAGGCTTTCCTACCTTCCGCCATATGTTTTAGCAGGTCATCCGGTTGTGACCAAGAAGATCACACAACAAATTTTTACAAGCAGGATCAGCAGGCAAGCTTCTGAGGCATACTGCACGTCTGGTTACATTAGAAAGCCCCATCATTTTTGCTGAAAGTGAAACAGATGAAGAATCAGCCAGAAAAGCCACAGCCATTTTAAAGGGACACTATAGTGTCAGGAAAACAAATCTGTTTTTCTGACACTATAGTACCCGGAGGGTGCCCCCACCCGTGGCACTGAAGGGGTTAAAAACCCTTCAGTAGCTCACCTAATTCCAGCGCCAGGCTTCCTTACGGGAGCCAAATGTGCATGCGCGGCACTGCCGCGCGCGCATTCAAAGTGTCCAAAGGAAAGCATTTTTCAATGCTTTCCTACGGACGGTCAGCGTGATTAAGGCATAATATGCCTCAAACATTGCAGATGCGTCTCTAGTGGCTGTCCGGAAGACCGCCACTAGAGGCTTGCTTAACCCCAAATGTACACAGTTTCTCTGAAACTGCTATGTTTGCATCTGAAGGGTTAAAACCTGAGGAACCTGGCACCCAGACCACTTCATTGAGCTAAAATGGTCTGGGTGACTATAGTGTCCCTTTAACGTTCCTAAGAAGTTTTACAGGATCTTCTCTTGATTCACCCATATAAACTTTCTCCAAAGTATCCAGCCAACATCTTTGAGCTTTGGCCACTGATGCACTTGAAATTAGTGCCTTATTCTGGGTAAAAAAAAAGAAGCTATTTTAAAGCAAGATTCTGCTCTCTTGTCATTGCATCCTGGAATCTCCCAATGCAACCTTTTCTTTTTTGAAGGAGGAGAGCTTAGTTCAGCCGTTTTATTAGGGTTCGACTGCACGGCAGACTGTGCCGATAGCAGAGCAGCTTCCTTTATGTCCAAAGTTTGCTGCAGGTTATTCTGGAACCATGACATGAAGGACAAAACTTCTGCCTTTTGAGCTTCATCTGAAGCTGCTTTATAACATCTGCCACACGGGAAGGGAAGAAAGAGCCTACCTCTATCTATCTATCTATGGAATAAAAACAAAGTACCGTAATAATTACGGAGACATTACGGAGAAAACTAGAGCAGTCTTACCTTACCTCCAGTGTGCTGGAGGGCAGGTGAGAGCACACTGCAAGAGGACTGTGAGCACTTGGCAAGTAGGAAATTGCTGCTGGGGTAAACATAGTTCCCAGGTCCTGGAGCGCTAGTTTTTTAAAATTGCACCTGATGTCTGGTAAGTCGCTTTGCTGCTTCAAGCCTCAACTACTTTCTCCAAGGAGCTGGAAGCTCCTGCTTAGGCGCTTCTGTTAGTTTTCCAGAGCTAGGTGCTGTAGATATAGTACACAATATACACCAAAAGGATTATAGTACATAAAGTAAGTCTTAACTTGTAGTCATTCCTGGTGTGAAGGAATAAATAGACAATTCCCAGGAGACTTTCCCCAAAACTCCATCCCACAAACAATAGCAATCAAAATCCAGTAAAAGTTACAGCTAAAATCTAAGAAGAAAAAAAATTACACAACATAGTGTAATACAAGTAAAAAATCAATATTCTGCTGCTATATATAATGGCACTTATAGACACGTCTTTTTTTTTGCCACAAACTTTCGACCTCTGAGTTCCTTTTTGGAGCAGAGAGTGTACTGGGCGTGCTATCAGAGCCAGACCCCAATACCTCGGGGAAGGCACGTTAAAATGATGATACCTTACTATCTCTTGTGAGATCAATTAAATAGTGGTGAAATATTGATGGTAAATTACACGGTGTTGTGAATTTTCTCTTAGTTTACAACTGTATCCCCTTTGGAATGTGTATACTAAGCAATGTAGTGCAGGGCTGTTTCATTGGCTGAGAACTTAAGCTGATCTCTCTCGGCCAATAAGCCGTACGAGCTTAGACAGACGGCCAACTTTCTGAAACAGTTTCACCATTTACAATTGGGGGAGAGGGTTGAACCAGAGCAACTGCACTCCTCATGCATCTATAATATGGGTTCTTGATGCCCAGAGATCACACTCCCCTCTTATCCGCGTTATTAATTTAGATTCTAGAATTAAAGGAACACTCCAGACATAAAAACTTAAGTTTGCGGTGTTACAGCTTATGGAGAAGGACAGGCACAGAGGCTTCTCCATTAGTAACCTCTGATTGGTGTATCCCATGGCATACACTGCAAGTCTGCGCATGGAAAAGGGGAGCGAGAGAGGGCTTGCAAAGGTTGCACTTGATAGGTCTGCTGCTTTTGCAAGCTATTTTTCCATACAGCCCCAAAGAATACATGCAGGAAAAAATACATGAATGCTTTCTTTGGGGGTAAATTTACTAATAAAATTATAAAAAACTAGAACTAAAAAAAAAAACAAAAAAAACTATCAAACTGGAATGTGATGTAGTGGTTATGGTGCCAGAAACCACTTCACACCACCACTACAGATAAGTGAGATACAGGGAGCTTTCGTTGGCTCTCCTGAACGAAGCCCTGCAGAGCTGGTGCACTGGTTGAGAGTCTCAGCTGATCGCTCTCCGCCAATGAGCCAAACCCTTCCAGTTCACACTGAGCGGTGGTTAAGTTTTAGTTCTAAAGTGATTTGACTCCTTACAGTGGGACGTTCCCAGGGCATTCCTAATACAATAACTACTACAGCACACTATAGTGGTAATGTGGCTTAAAGTGTTCATTTAAATGGGAAGCCTAAGTACCATATTCACTCAGAATGTGGTACTAGTACAAAGTACAAAGAGGACTTTTCCCAGAGAATAGCATCAAACCATTTTCAAATGGTTTGGACCTTACCTGGGTCTCCAGTATCTGGGAAAACCTCCTCTTCAGATATACCTTAAGCAGAAGTTCCAGTGTCTCATTTAATATGGGTTGAGAATATGTTTGCCCTACACTCTCTGCTAACACATGCTTTTTTTAACTAAGCCATTATACCAGGGGATGGCACTAAGCCTTTTTAGCCAGTACAGTGTGCACTAGTAGCTATGCTGCCTAAAGTCCCTTTAACTGCTTTTAAAATAAGTACAATAATAATAATAATAATAATAATAATAATAAACCATACAAAGCAAACAGTAAATCCCAAATTTGCTCTGGTCCTCAATGTCCTGCACACCTGTAAAAAGAAGCCTTAAGGGGGTTAACATGGGGAGCATTTTTAACACAGAATAAAATACCAGATTCCACAGCGCAAGCTTCAGCTTCTTCTTCCATTTCCTCCTCCTGAGGGGTCAATCTGTCACTTTGTTCAGCAGGCTCTGCTTTCACCTCTGCTGGCTCAATGATCTCCTGACATTCTTCATCTTCCTCCGCTCCATTCTGTATTCCTTCCTCATCCTCGCCATCATCTTCACATGTCACCATGTCCAGAGCGCTGTCCTCCATCTGAGGTCCTGCCATTGGCAGATAACGGCGGGCTCCGAGCCTGGCTGATAACACGGTTCGGCAATCTGACCAGGAGGGAGCCCTCACACAGATCAATAACTAAAATGATGGCCGACTCAGAGCTGATAAACAGAGGGCTTCAATATCAGTAACCCACGCTGGGAGTAAACCTGGAGCTAGATGGAAAAACCTCAGTTACCGGAAGTAAACAAACACCGAGCGGAAGTGACGTTCTAAGACAGGGAATGAGGTTAGAGTCTTAAAGTCACACACGCACACATTCTCCCTCTCCTTCTCCTCTGTTTTATTCGTAATTTAAAAAAGAATAAAACCTTTTTTAAATTGATTATTATACATGAATTAAACAAAGGGCATGTACATACCTCCCAACATTGCAAATGGACAAAAAGGGACATTATAAGTTAAAGGGGGGTTAAGGAAGGGAAAGGGGATTGTTCTGAGAAGTTTTACTAAAAAAATAATGACAATTACATGTCATATAAAACAAGAAAAATTTATTTTATTTACACAGGCTGATTTCTAAACACACTTATTGTAATTTAATCCTGTAAAGATCAAGCTTAATTTGTAGGTTTTTCCGCTTAAGGACCAGAGCATATTTGGGGGTGGGTGTGTGTCCGCAATTTACATCATTCTCATTTACTGTGCCAGTGCATATTATATACTACTTTTTTTTTCAAGTCCAAAAAGTGATTTAACCCCTTAAGGACAGTGGTAATTGTACAAGCTCTGACCAAAACAAAACCTAGATTTTGAGCTATATGTCTGTTTAACCATAATTTACCTCTTTCATATGAAGTGCACCCACACCTATTGTATATTATTACTGAGAACCAGGACTTTCATATCACATAAAATATTTATGTTGTGGAAATGAGAAATTGACATATTTTTAGTTAGTAAAATGTCTATTTACTAATTTAACTGAAATCAGTGCATAAGCTATTAACACATATTTAGACAAAATGGCCACTAGAAGCTTCTAACCCCTCCCTCCCTATAACACCGACTAACTACCTCGTGTAACAAGATGGCGCTGCAATCTGGGAGAGACCCTCATGGTCTCAGTGACATCACCCTTAGTAGGCAGAGCATTAGGGAAACACCTAACCAATTAATAAAGTATTATTTCATGTTATCTCTGACAATGCTTATGATGTAATTTTGCTTTAAAAGGGACCTGCCGTCCCCTCTGAATAAACATTCCTCAAGTTATTCATCAACCTGAAACCTGTGTCTTGTGTGAATTACTTCAGGGAGCGTGCACGCATTGTTTCTTAATTTGGCCAGGGGCAGATACACAGAGAATAATCAATTTTATTAAGACACGGAGGCTCCTATTATGCTGCACTCTTTCTTTATTTTCCCTCAGCAGCAAAGAAAATTTTTTTTAAAAACGTAATCAAAGTCAACAATAAACAGTCTGAGAGGAGTATCCTAGCAACAGGAACAGCCAATCGGATTCCACTCTCCAGGATAATAGGCTCTGTGAACCAATCCAATTCTTCTTTCTTTGCTGCTCCCTCAGTTAAGTAACATCAGATCCCATGGTTTCTTAACTGTGGGATCGTCATTTTACATTTTATATTGCTGTTTATATTGCTATTTATTTATTTATTTAATACTACTTCTTTAAATTGTTTTACTATACTACTCCTTTAAATCGCTTGTTTTAATATTATGTGTTATTGCTCTTGCTGGTTAAATTTTTGAGGGTTATTGAATTTTTTCAACTAGTCCCCTCATAGCTTAGTGTTTTCTGCCTATCACTTGGCTGGCTTCCTTAACCCTGAGCCGGTGAGTTTCACCGTGCTCGGGGGGTTTTCTATTTCCCAACCCCGTCCGACCGTTGCTGAGGCGAGCGCGCGCGCTCCCCTCCCTGCGCCCATTCACCTCTTGTCCCGCTGTTTAGATACCCGCGTTCGGGTATTTGATGCGAACGCACTCTAGGCATTGCTTTCGCACCACGAATCCACATTACCAGTTTTTCTCGCTTTCTAATCCGCGAACGCATTCCTCCATTGACACAGACGTTCGCCTATGCGAACACTTCTGTCCCATCCCCGTTCGGGATTTTCTCACTGTTTGCAGCGGCCATTTAGTGCTTTCCCGCGCCCTGCCACTAGCACTGCCCCCCACAGACCGGAACTCTGAGTTGGGAGCTAGTGCTAGTGGCGGTCGGACGGTTTTTCTCTCTCTACGGTACCTGTATTAATTCTATGAGTGAACACTTTATTATATTATATTGTACTGTTTTTTCCTTTCATATATTATGTCAAATATTATTGATTCCCTCCTACAGGGTTACTCAACCCTCCCCTATAGGTTTTGTTGCCAACAGGTTATCATTTTTCAGATTCATATATAATCCTGTCAGTCACTGTCATAACTATGCCTTCTGACAAGGCTGCTCCCTCTGGGTCTATTAACCCTGACAGGGCTGGTTTTCAGGCACCTTCAGGTGTATGTGATGATATGGCGGTTCCACCCGCTGAGCTTGATACCCCTGCTGTTATGCAGACCTTGATTGATGACACCATGTCACAGGCTATGACTAAAGCCCTCATGTCGGCCATGGGACTAATGTCTGATTCCATATCCCAGGCACTTACACATGCCCTAATCCAGGCGCAAAAATCAGCGCAACCGACTTCGGCCCAGATTGTGCCTGTCACAACTCCTTTACAACCTCAGACCGGCCGCAAGGCCTTGGCAAAAATGAAACACTCCTCAATGCCACAGATGGACAGCCATGCACCTGTCACAGATGGCGCGTCTATACAACCGCGCAAAAGAGCCACTAGCCGGGCAAAATTGGCTAGATTGTGGGAAAGGGCAAGAGCCCAAGTTGATTCTGAGTCTGATCTCAGCGACATTGAGGAGGAGTCTTCTGTTGTTTCGGAAGATCCATCGGATACCGACTCAGATTGCCCGGCCGGGGACTACGGCCATTCTCAGGACTACAGTCCGCTCCAGTCAGACATGCCTGTTGTAGACCACAAGGCACAAGGGGATGTAGATATGATTGTGGATCAACACGGTGCACCCCTGTTTGATCCCGACCTATTACGCCACCCACGGTCGGCGGAATGGTCCCCCCCAGAACATGTGGCCAAATATATAGCGTCTAGGGTACGCAAGCCTTTAGAAAAGGCGACACGGAATAAACTACGGGCAGAATGCCCGCGCCCCACAGTCCCAGATGATGCCTGCAGCACACCTGCAGTTGACCCAAAGATTACCCAATTCTTGGGAAAGACAGGCTGGAAGCCCAACAAAGGCTTGGAGTTTGCCCTGCGCAATTGCCAAGACAAGGTCTTGGACATCCTGGGCCCAGCTACCAAAATATTCGAAGTGGTCCAAGATGACCAAGAGTTGGATCGGGCCGCCATAAATGGATGGATCCAACGGATTATTTGCCTGATTGGCAATGCCAACACGGCAATAGCCACGGAACGCCGCAAGGCGATACTATTGAAAATAGAACCGAAATTGGTTAATATGGCCCTGAACGAACCGGGCGCCCAAGCTAAGGGTCTCCTATTCGGAGACAATTTTGTCAAGGAATTGGGCTCCTTTGTCCATACATTTACTGCCCTAGATAAGGCGCAATCCAACATGCGCAAGGTGTTTCACCCCAAGGTTTTTGGTGGGGCCGGAAGAGCAAGGAGCCGTCTGTCCGGCCGTGTTAACAGAAGTTCTTTTAGACAGAACAGAGGCTCCTATACGGGACGAGCCAGTTTCACGGAACACCGCAACGCTCCGGCGTTCTTCCCACAGCGTGGGCGGCCATGGGTTGCCCGTGGACCACGGAATGCCCACTCCGGGCGACGACCTTACGGTAAGTCCTCTCCATTTACATTCTTCCCTATGGGCAGTGGGGGGCAGACTCCGACATTTTTCCCACATGTGGGCTCGCATATCGTCAGATTCTTGGGTGCTAAACACCATAAAAGGATATACAATAGATTTCCTGTCCCTACCCGTGCAATTCTCCCAACCACGAGAAATGTCTTTTTCCCTAGCAGACAAGACCCTGGTCACCCAGGAAGTTTCAGACTTACACCACAAAAAGGCCATTTCAGAAATCCCAATGGCCACGGCAGGTTATGTCAGCAACCTGTTCCTGGTTGCCAAGAAAGGCGGCGGGGTCCGCCCAGTGATCAATCTGAAACAACTCAACACTTACGTCTCTTACAACCATTTCAAAATGGAAGGAATACATTGTCTAAGAGATCTCCTCCAACCAGCGGATTGGATGGTGAAACTGGATCTCAAAGACGCTTATCTTACAGTGCCGATCGCCCGGCACCATCAGGATTTCCTGCAATTCATCTGGCAGGGCAAGAAGTGGAGGTTCACCTGTCTCCCTTTCGGGCTGTCATCGGCCCCGTGGTGCTTCACCAAACTCATGAAGCCCGTGACGGCCTTTCTTCGGAGCCGAGGAGTGCGTCTTATAATCTATCTGGACGACATCCTCATTATGGGCCAATCCGCCCAAATTGCACGGACCCATTTGAACTGGACTCAGACCCTATTACAGAACTTGGGTTTCCTCATCAATTGGGACAAATCCATCTTGACTCCCACTCGGCACATAGAGTTCTTGGGTCTCATCGTAGACTCCACGTCTCAGACCCTACATCTACCGATGTCGAAACTGAACAATATCAAAAAGGAAATCAAACGCTCCCTGGCAGCTCCTCAGCTGTCCCTCAAACAGTTGGCAAGGGTGATTGGCCTCCTGGCGGCCTCCATACAAGCCATCTTCCCGGGGCCGCTCCACTACCGGGCGTTACAACGCCTTCACGCTGCCAACCTGAGAGACGGGGTCGCCTACACAGATCTGATCACTCTGAACTCGGAAGCGAAGGACGAACTGACATGGTGGCTCTACCATATGGAAGCCTGGAATGGTCGAGCCATTTTTGGCACCACACCAGATCTGGTAATAGAATCAGACGCGAGTTTACACGGCTGGGGTGCTCGCTGTGGAGACATCTCTACAGGTGGCAGGTGGTCCAACAGCGAAGCTACACTCCACATCAATTGCCTGGAACTCCTGGCAGGATCCTTTGCGATCCGCAGCTTTTCACCGACCCTGGTACAATGCTCTATCCTTCTGAAGATGGACAATATATCGGCAGTCCGATATATCAACCATCTGGGGGGCACGAAGTCAAAGGTCCTGGCGAACATGGCACGAGATTTTTGGCA